GTGGTCCGTTCTACCAGTCCCTGTGGAAGTTCAGCCACTGTTTTAAGTGTTTTTATTATGATAAAGTATGAAGGGTACTAGGGCACGAGGCTCGTAATTTGACATTTCTTGAAATTATGGGCAAAAAAACAAGAGGGCGTTTGGGCAAAACAAAATTAAAGGGCGTTTGTAGAGATATTGAACGAATTGAATTTCCAAAAACATAGCAGAATTGCAGTGTATTTGTCAAAAGAAAAAAAAGAAATAAATACATAAATAAAATCCGTGAGAATGTTACCTGTATGTGTAATGAAACGTTGTGTTTTAATAATAAATAGAAGTCTATATCTATAAAACTCTTGTTTCTTAAAATAAAACCCACCAGGCAATGTAAAATATTGGTAAAAATAAGTAAAATTTAGTATTTTTAAAAGACGATATTTTTCGGCACCAGGATATTATAAAAACCAAAAATATTTTCATCTGATTTCACGATAGGTAGGTTACTGTTCCGAACTATACTTAATCAAAAATCAAATTGAGCTATAACTAGAAAATAATAGAAAAAAATAAATACAGCCAACAATGTAAAACTATTTGAAAATATATTTATTCCACAAAGTGACACTTCTGTTATTATTGACCAGGACATAGAAAACCCCACCACTGTTTCAGGTGATTGCTGACCCTAACACTGTTTCAGGTGATTGCTGACCCTAACACTGTTTCAGGTGATTGCTGACCCCAACACTGTTTCAGGTGATTGCTGAGATACTCAATGATCTGAATATTCTATTAAATCAAACTAGAATGTAACCTGGCTGATAAAACACTGAGAAAACCGTCAACAAAAAGTCTGCGTAGAATTAGAAAGAAAGAGAGGTCGGTGGCGATTGTTCATAATAATTACTTAAAGAGATTGTAAAGAGCTTTTCTAAATTTTTTATGTGTATCATGGACATTGATAACATCAATAACAGACGTCTGAGGTTCCTGCAATTCCAATTAACGCAAAAAATGCTGCATCACATACGAACTTCGCGATAAATGACATCATTTAGTTTAGTTTTAGTGGACTTACAGAAACCACAGACGTATAATTGAAAATTGAAAAGGGGTAAATTGATGCTATCAGTGTCCTCGGAAAACATAAAAAAATTGGACAATATTTACGACCAGTGCCTCCACAGATTAAGAAGAAAAAATAAACTACCTGTCCTGAGAAATAAACAGGACGACAATATTTTAATCATTAATATATTAATCATACAGACACAATTTAATAAATGATTTTAAAAAATTAGAAATCCAACAAACACTAAACTTACTCAGTAATACATCTAAATAAAAAAATATACAATCGAATTTTTAACAAGAAATTAATTTAGACAACTCACTGGTCTAACTATTTTAAAATACATATAATACAAATCACAGAATAAGGTACTGTAAAACTATTATCAAACATTTAGTTAAAGTCAAATTTCAGGAACCACAGATGTCTGAATGAAAATTGAAATGATACATATTGATGCTATCAGTGTCCCCGATACACATACAAATTTATAAAACATTATACTATATTATTTTTGTAAGATTTTTGGGGGATTTATATGCACGTTACGCCTCCCACCTACAAACACTGAATGGACCCAAACCAATATACAATTCTATCCAGTGCTCTCCTAGTCACAGTGGAAGTACAAAGATTTTTAAATCACCGAAAAGCTGCAATAGTCAGTCTACAATACTACAATACTACAATACTACAATACAGTAGTTATTAGTCGATACCGGAGTTTAACATTAAAGATGATTAAAAAAACTATATTTTCTATGCATCAGCACCCAACCAACTAAATACAACCATTACTAAATACAACCATTACTAAACCATTACTAAATACAACCATTACTAAATACAACCATTACTAAATACAAAGATTACTTTATAAATCACTGAAGAAGCTATAATAGTAATAATCAGTCTGGAATACAGTAAAATTGTTAGTTGATATCAACGATTCAGTTGAATAATTGAAATATATCTAGATGGTTTGCTTACCCAGCCCCGACCACAACCCCACCCCAACCATTACAAAAGATTTCTAACCAAAGAAGCAGTGGTGGGGGATGAGCAGGGGTCACAAAATTCCAAGGGGGATACTTTCCCTACGTAAAATGATAATAGAATGTGGGGTAAAGGTGGGTCAGTCTCTTTTCTGGGGGCATGCCCCCCCCCCCCCCCTCCCCCCCCTTGTCCCCCGTAGAAACGCCAGTACAAAGAAGCTGTAATAATCAGTCTGGAATACAGTAGAATTATTAGTTGCTATCGGTGGTTTACTAAGATATCACACAGTGACTCATTCTGACTCATTCACCCAGTCTAAACTAGGTCAACTTCCATTTCTCAATGAACGTGCAAAATTTATACCAATAATTCACTGAGTTTCCATTAATTCTTCCAGTTTTCATTGATAAAGTTCGGTTAGAATCTCATTAATTATGATTCATTCTCTGTGAATTGGTTATCATCAGCCAAACTGAATGAAGTATCGGGCCCATTTCATTATTAATTGATCCTCGATAGTTTAATGAAAGCCGAACATTTTACCACTTTGCAAATAATTGCTTTGTGCGTTTCCATAACAACGTTATAACAAAAAGGAAAATTCCAAACGGTTGCGTAGACTCGAACAACCAGTCGCTTCAAGTCTATTACACAATAGTTATATTTAGACTGTTTCTAAACTAGACGAAATATATCGATTGATCGAGGCTATTATCACCGAGAATTTGCGTGGGCAGAAAATTTATTAGATATTCCAGGGTCGTTATACACATTGACTGGCGTTGCTAGGTAACGTGGCAGACGACTGAACCACGCGTCTGCAGAGATATCGGAGGAGGCAGCAATGGACAAATTAGATTTGATGTATAGGATATGTTCGATTAATTTCAGAAAAGGTAGAAAAGACGATGATGAAATATTTGTTTTTAGCGGAAGAGAAGAGTCACACCTATTTTCCACACCAGGGACCACCAAATTTCCAGGTCTTTTCAAATATAAAATATTATACCCGTCTTGAAATTCAAATTCTAATTTTGAACCTGAAATCTTTAGCACTTCATAAGATTAAATTCTGCAACTCAATGTCATCCGATCTGATCGCCACGTCCTAGTGAGAATAATCTCAAGAGGAAAAAAAAATTTTAAAGGTCCACTGTAGACAAAAACACTGCCTCTATACCAGCCTCTGATAGATATAGCCTCCGAAAATGGCGAACCTGTGCCTATTAGAGGGATAGCATCCAAAAAAAGATCATACCGAGAAGTAGGCCGGATCCCGACACAAGTTGTTATTCTTACAGTTTCTTTCTTAAATATAATGTTATAAAAACTACTAATGCTAGGACCTGTAGTTTTCCTCGTTAATATTAATTAGTTGTGGGAATTTCCAAGAAATCTATGATAAGTTACTTCCCTTGAAAAATGGCTTTTTAAAGCAGTCAAAGAGAGATAATTTAGTAAAAGAAAAAGGACTAATAACAAAGGCCCAACAAACACATCAGAATTGTTCCTGTATTGTATCCTGATACAAATTTGATACGGGTAGCTAAAAATATGTTCTATCAGCTGGTAGGGTATTAATAAATAAACCAAGTACAAACGATCCAAACCGCACAACGAAACCCGAAATCTAAACAACATGTTGATTGATGGTGGCGATGCATTAATAGCACCTGATGAACTTTTCAATTATATATATCATATCAACCGTAAGTGAGTACGTAGTCTATAATGAAAAGTGATATTAGGTGACTACAAGAGTAAGCAAACCCTGCCAGGAACCACACCCGCCTCTATTCAATATCAGAAAAAATGAAGAAGTATTAAGACAATGAAAAGAGTTATCAGGTGTCTAGAAGAGTAATCATACCCCGATATGACGTGAACACTGGAAAATCCGAGAAAGATCTATGAGGAAGACATCACTGTCACCAGTTGCAAACTTTTCCTTTTTTCCTTTTTTGAGTGAAAATCACATTTGCAATACAGCAGTAAATGCCACAAAATCTTTAATGAGTTACTTCCCTTGAAAATTGAAATCTAGAAACGGTCAAAGGGGGATAATTTAGCAGAAAAATTCCTCACGTTCTTTCATGCTAATGGGAGTAGTAAATGGCATGAAATTTATATTTGCATTTAAAAATTAAATCGCCCATTTTATTGCGGTGGAACAGAGCACGATGTTCGCTGATCTCGTACACTTATACACATTTCGTTGAAACATGAAATATACTGTTAATGCTTGTACTGTTAGTTTCTATCAGCTGATGAAGAATTAAATTATCCGATTGTATTTCTTTCAAGACACCGTAATATTTTCATCAAAACTTATTAAGATTTTGAGTGATGAATCGGAATCCGAGTCATTTATCGGGTTTAACAGCTAGTTAGCAAAGTAACACGAATTATCACTTTACCGACGCAATAACAAACCTCAAGGTCGATATAGTTTATGTTTCCGAGGTAAGAATCAGTATGCTAGAAAAGCCACCGAGTTTATCAGCTGGTTAACCAAAAACTGAATAACATTTTCCAAACGCAACCACAATCCTGTTAAAACCCACATGGTTTCTACCAGACGAATCATATCAACTGCATAACTTCTACAATTCGATGATTGTATCACTTCAAAAACGCAAAAACTGTACTTAAAATCCACGAAGTTTGGGGAATGAATCTGAATTTCAGACGAGTCATTCGACCGAGTTTTGGCTAACCAAACAATTTGACAACCTAATTAAATTAATTAATTAAAATCCATCTGGTTCTTACCGGGTGATTCTGACCGCCATTTTATCAGCTCGTTAAGACAACAATGTAACAATTTCAAAACGAAACAACAATCTATATCAAATCTCAATTGTTTCCGTGGAACGATTCGGGTTGCTTGAAGAACCATTTATTGGGTTTTATCAGCTGCCTTACTTAATTTTTACGATTTTATCAAAATTTAAAATCCATATGGTTTCTGAGGAATGAATCGGAACGCTAGAATAGCCATTAACTGATAGCCACAGATATTTCCTAGTAATATTACTACAGCCATCCAGACCTGATCACCATCGAATCCATAAAGTTTCAACGCTTCTTCTCCTGTTTTAATACAATATCTAGGATCAATCTGCCCACAGGCGAACGTCACGTTCCCATACTCCACCAAGCTCAGACTGTCAAACGCCCATCTTATTGGAGAAACATCAGCCATCCACCGCGTTCCTACAAATAAAATTAAATAGAGATTTACGATCTATCGTTGTTACATTGGTGTTACATCGGCCATCCATCGTGTTTTTTCAAATGAAATGAGAAGTAATTTTGCAATTGTCGAGGATCGAGATTCAAACTGTGGTAGCTCTATGGAAGCGTACACAGAGGAGCGAACCTCCCATGGTACGTCTGAGAGGGTTCTTCCTTCAGAAATGTTTAAAAACTAGAATCGGTTTGGTGCATTCTGACACATATTTTGGGGTAAAAACGTTTGACACTTTTTATGTCCACTTAAATAAGGGCGTATAAAATTAAACAAGAAATTCCTTACCTGAATGCATAGATTCTAAATTAACATAGAATCCGCTACAGACGCTAAATAGAGCGAGTAGAATATTACTGACAGTACTGGACAAGGTATAGTTAGGAAAGATCATCGCCATGGCCAGGGCCCAGCTTCTAGTCACATACACCAGTAACAATACAATCCCAAACATAGTAAAAAATATTATCACGTCTACTTGTAACCCCGTCATAAAATAAGCTGGAGTAAAATATAACGATACGAACAGGAAGTGAAATGGAAGTTCCGCTATTATCTGAAAGAAAGACAAAGGAAATCACAGAGTATTGCGAGCCAATCGTGACAGCAGCCTACCCGCACCTGTACCTCTTGTATTTGTATCTATTTTCTACTGTATTGATAATCCCGCAACCGGCAGACATAATTGTTCGGAGGGACAAGTAATATATCCGGAGGAGCAATGTCAAGGTACCGCCTCACCCCCACCCCCAGTAGCTAGGGGACTGGTTAAAGCTAGGTGTATTCTGTTCTTAAAGAGCAAGATCGTGTGTAATATCTTATGAAAGTTACGAAATCAACGTCAGCAAGACGTCCGGTAAAATCGAAAAAACATAGAAAAATAGCAGTCTTTGGCCGCCGTGTTATGTTGCTTACAAAGGAAATAATTTAATATGACCGATATGTCAGGAATACAATAATTACTCACTTTAGAAAAATAATAAGCGAAATATCCATAAAGTTTGTCTTCTAACTCAAAATATAAATATTTTCTTTCTTCGTGACCTACAAGAAAAATAGTACAATAAGATATAAACTGTAGAACTGAATGTTTCTTTTCCCATTTTCTTTACGGGATACTGCATTCGCCATCCATGATCTGAGAGCATTCTTCTGTAAATTGTGTTCCATCCTTTTACTACAGGCTTACTACATTCTTTAGTGAACTGCTTTAGAAATGATTGACAACACAAGAAAATATATAATGGTCTCACACTGTCCTATAACATCTAGAGTATTGGTAAAAGGGTACATCATGGTGATCATAAACATAAACCCATATCGATCTCTAATTCCTCTCTGATCTAACGTCAATTCCCAAAACACCACTCCCAATACTAGCGACATAAATACAGCTTCAAACGTCTGAACTATCAACGCCCATTGGTTGATTACTGTGTTCTTAAAATGGCGTCTGAAATTACAAAATAGATTCTGAAATTACAAAATGGCGTCTGAAATTACAAAATAGATTCTGAAATTACAAAATGGCGTCTGAAATTACAAAATGGCGTCTGACATTATAAAATGGTGTCTGAAATTACAAAATGGCGTATTAAATAACAAAATGGCGTCTAAAATCACAAAATGGCGTCTGAAATTACAAAATAGCGTCTAAAATAACAAAATGGCGACTTGAGACAATAAAACGTCCCAAGCGAAGAAAATAAAAAGCTGACTCTTTTTGAATAAGTGGAACTTTGGAAAGACTTTCAAATTAGATCAACATCTCCAGAGGTCACTGCAGCCAGCGTCCCTTTGTACTTAGATGAATTACTAACTGGATGAAGAAACCAGGATATCCAACTCCCATCTTTGGTGAAATTGGGGAATAACGGAGTCCATTGGTCTTTAAATCAAATGATGCTTATGGAATCAGTTTAACAAGAACAATCCTAGTATTGCAAACTGGTGAAAGAAACGAGGCCACGTATTCTCGAAACGATCTTTGTGTTAGGATGTCCTAGGTTCTTATCTTCTAACATTGATTCTTGGAAATCCTAGCGCTAAGACCGTTTCGAGTATACGGGACCAGGATATACCCAACTTCCATCTTTGATGAAATGGGGGTACATGAAACGTTCACTGTCAGCTTCCCCTCGTACTTAATATGGAATGAATCCAATAAAAACCAACCTTGCTAGTACTGTAAACTGATGGAAGAAACCAGGATAACCAACTTGTATTTCAGTGGCGCCCTCTATCATATATTCTTTAATGTGTTGATTTACCTCGGTATCAGATCCTGTATGAACCTCCTCCCCCTGGCGTCTGTAGGCCTCCAGTAAATTCTCTACTACTTCCGTCGTTCTGCTCTCAGTCTCGTCCGTGGTAGCGTCGATAGTCGCTAGATCCACTGTAATACAAAATAATGATTTAACCATATTTCTATTTAACAAGATGCAAAATATACAATGTACAAACATTAACACGAGAATGAGGGCTAATGCCAATCTGCTTGGTCAATACATAAAGATAAAGGGCGTAGACTCGGCGACTTCACTTCCTTTTTGAAAAAAAAAAACCGCCTAAAGCAAAATAAAGCAACGCAAATAAAAAACCCCAAAAACTAAACTAAGATGTGATACAGAAGGATGAAATTAAGTTTCTATCGACTGGTCAAACAGATATTACAATATTTATGTTTCGGTAGCAGCTAGATACTTACTGTAATAATCTGATGGGTTGGTGAGTTCTGGACATGGATAACCTAGTCTAGTAAAATAATCCACCATAGTTCTAGTTTCGCCGTAATATACAGTCTGCCCTACTGATAAAACTAACACCTTGTCGAACAACTCAAATATATCTGATCTGAAAACATAACATTGGTATATCATAATATAAGGCCCTTTACGATAGCGTTACTCTTAGTTTTAGTACAATTGCATGAGCCTCAGACATCTGACTGAAATTGAAATGATGTAAATTGATTCTATCAGTGTCCCTGATACACATACAATTGTTTTAGAAAACCTATTTACAATCTCTTTATCATAAAGTATTACTTTTAACCTTGTATTGAAACCGTCAGGCTATATAAAATATGTAAGCTATAGAAGGAAACCTTGGCACCTTCAAGATGTAGCCTTACCTTGGTTGATGGATAGATAGAAGTATAGTTCGTTGATTTTTAGCCAATCGGGATAAAGTTTGTATCAGATGATGAGCTGTGAACGAATCCAGACCGGAAGTAGGTTCATCTAGCAACAATATACCTGAAAATATAATACATATCTTGAAAAACAGTTTGGTTCGGTTTCAACAGTTGAGTATCTGAATATCCAACTCGGAATACCACAACTTCTCTAGCTATTAACTACCTAAACTCTGAAAGCAATGAGAATTTACCAGGCCATGACCTTTCAAATGATTGAAATGATGCTTTACATCCAACTTTTCTGCACGGGCTGTATGCTCATTAGGCCAAAAAAGCGAAGGGCCAAACAAAACTACTTGAGGCCCTGGGGACTGGGGGCAGGTAAACTGAGAGGGCTTTATGTTCGCATCAAAATACCATGGTCGAAAGGCCTCCCGCCAAATACGCTACTGGAACTCACTAGGATCCATCAGTAGCTGTATTCCTATACTGACTCTTCTTCTCTCTCCACCGGAAATACCTCGAATATTAGCGCCCCCTACTCTAGTGGCAGTCACGTGACTTAAACCTAGCTCAGCTATAACCTCGTCCACCTGAAATGAAATGCAAGAAATAAAAAGTGTCATAGATTTCTGCTAATTCCTGGCGATGGTCTACTTTTGTACTATTGTCTGTTTATAGAAACATAAGACATCATTTAACTTTAATATTGTACCCTTAGACAAAATTAATAGACTACTCACTTTCCGTACTATTTCAACTCGAGATAATTTAGTTGGTAGTTTCAACTGGGCCACAAACATCAGAGTTTCCTTGACGGACAGGAACTGAAGCAGACGATCATCTTGTCTGACGTAGGCTGAGAAATGTTCTATCATATGTTTGGTATGTTTAACACCGTTCAGTTCTATATCGCCAGTTACTGTACCTGTAGAATTCTTACAGGCTAGAACATTTAATAGAGACGTCTTACCGCTTCCTGGAATTCCAATGATATGACATAGAATCTTGTTTTATAACCTATAGTTTTATAACAGCTTGGATTAATGATTGAAATTTAGTTTTGCAGAGAAGATCATACAGCAGACATGTACTTGTGGTTTGCATTAATCTCCAGTCATTTAATTTTCAAATTTATAAGGATCATACACAGTCTGTATACCGCAGATGTCATCTGTTTATTGTCTCAACCGAATGACCAGCCTCTCCGATATTCATCAGTACCGACATCCAGGCTAGCGAGCAGGTCCCAAACTCAAATCAAAACCAATAAATGTTACCCTCATCAGTAAAAATCACTAGGACTAACACCTTATTCTGCATTTCCTGAGACTCTCTATGACCATATATCGATTGACGGCAGTAGTGCCAGTGTAACAAGAACCTACCCGAGCTGCCCATAATAGCCAACATCTGGCCGCATTTCGCCTGGAACGACACTCCATCTAGAATAGTTTTAGTGGTGGCGCTGTGGTCGGTGGTATGACAGGGGAGACGACTGGTGGTAATATTAGGTTGGTCTATAACGTATGATAGATTCTCCACGTTGATATCGATACTGTGTTTAATGGAAAACTCAATATTATATACTGAGGTCATGCTGTCGTTCTGAAAGGGAAAAGGTACATCGATTTATTTCCAGATGCATGTGGCAGTCCATCCGAAAGACGGTCTGGAGTCGTCTTTCACCTCTTATACCTACTCAATGCAAACAAACTTACAAAATAACAAGATAAGACATGCTATCGATCTTGATAAAAGAAAGCAAAATGAGATATCCAGTTAATTCCAGGAGCCAATAAACGGAGGCCCTGTGTGCTACAGGCTGTAGGTGTCTCTCGACAGTTGGGTATCGTAAAAGAGTAGACCAATGCTGCTGATGTTTATTGTTCAGCCCAGCATTAAAATGATCAGAGTTTTGAGATATTTTGACACAATTGTCAATGAAGTCTTACTATTGATCTGTAGAAAAGGAAACTCCGTTGGTCAATCTGACAACTGAAGTGATTGTACCGTCCAGTTTTAATTAATAGAAGTTTTGAGATATTTTGACAATATTGTCGAGACTATCTTGATTTGGTGAACTTCAGAATTCATTGAGCGATAATTTGACCAGCAACAGCTCATTGTAATAATTTAATCAGCTTTATTTGTTACTATACTTTTGGAAACCTTTCAGAGTAGGTCAGCATGCACGAGGGAATATTTTTATGATCTTTACGGGAAGGGCATGATAACTCTCTAGGATATGAATATGATAATTTGAAATTGAAATCTGCAAATCGATCCTCATGGCTGCTTTAAGGGCGGATGATTTACCCATTTCCCAGGAAAATATGTGTGGGTGTGTGTGATAAAATTTGTTAGGAAGGTTTAGTGTAACATACAAAACCACTGTTCCACTGGCAGACTATCTGAGGCATGGTGCAATGGACATTGTTTTTGTGATGGGCCCTACCCTCCTAAACAATCCAGATATTTTAAGTACAATGATCTGATTGGATAATAAAACTTAATTTAAAATCGATTCTAGTGATTGACCAATCAGACGAATGAAACACTAAAATCATCGTAAGTTAAATTTTCAAGAATAAGCCCCATAAAGACATGTCCATCTTTTCAATATGTGTTAAGTGAATGTTCTAGTGATTAACAATCGAGATATTTCAGCTGATAAAGTTGCTGTATCGCTGATTTCTCGGTTCATATCTACTAACTTAACCTTGAGACAGGACACATATTGATAAAGGCTACCGGTAAGAACTGCACTGTGAATCAGACATTGGTCTTTTTGAACCGATAGCAATCTTCACAATGACAAGCTAAACCTATAGCTATACTATACTTATAGTTTGCAAGGCTCTGAAACAGCTCAGGAAGGACGACATTGTTAAAATAACTGAAAGCTGATAAACACTACAACTACCGACAACTGTTACTGTTACAAATTTTTAACATGTTTTACTGTTAACATATTCTTATCTTCTTATATTTTTATCATATCTATATTATTAATATTATTCTATATGATTATATCCATGCTTTTAAATTTTATTGAATCGAATTTTAAAAAATTGGATGAAGATATATTTCGTATCCCAGAAATTTGAGGCGCTTGAAACGGCCTGAGTAGAACCACTCCGCCCCCGCAGTACACCACCCGCCCCCCTCCCCACCTTCTCTTGACGCATTTAGCTTGCACTCGCACTTAGACCTTGTGATAATTATTGGCCCCTAAACTCTTCAACTACTATGTAATTTGACATGAAAAATATTTTGCTCCAAGGTTTTCCAAATGTTGCCTGAAAAAGACGAAAAATAGAAAGTTATAACTTACCATTACAGATTGCATTTACTTTTACTCATTATGGTGAGCTAATTACATCAAAATCTATATCCGTCTTGATACTGGTAACTTGATAATCTGATAATTTGGCGTGAAACGTTGCACTGATAATTAACAATGATGAGAACTCTGACGATGAGTGCACCGGTTTCTTGAATGAAAGTGCAGTCAGTCGATAATTAAACAAAAGATTTTCTTGCCTTTGTTGATGTGTGAAAGACTAATATAGCGTCTATTAATATTATTGTGATCCAAGTTCAAATCTTGTAGTTATTGTAATGCCAGAAAAACTTGGACGTATTAATCTAACAAAACAATTTACCTAGTTGAGTTGAATTAATGCAAAAAGAGGAAATAAGTTTGTCCGATATACAAAGGCTTGAAAATCCGAATGTTGAATGGAGTGTTTCCCCGATAGATATACACGGGGTAGAGATCGTTTGTAGAATCCTTAAACTATCTGAACATTATAGAAAACAATATCACACAATTGCAATTATCACGTTTACTTTTTTCACCATTTTTAATAAATTAACAAAATACACACTTTCACCGAGCCACAAATATACCTAGCAAGGTAAAACACAAACGTTATCAATCGTACTTTCAATTGATAATATAACTGTTACTATAAATAGAATTGACACATTGACAGGCGACTGGGGTAGAAATGTTTACTCACGTGATATGGGTTTTTTGTTTATTTGCCGTTTAGAGTACATCATGTGACAGAGTCGCCCTTGGTGGGTACACTGGACAAAACGAGCAAACTCACTCTATTAACATCTGTCTTTGTTATTTCCATCTAATATAATCCAGTATAGCGATTGAACTCATTTGATTTGTGCGCTTGTAGTCTTTAATTTACCGATAGCAAATTCCTTTGTTGTCAGCTTTTGCACTGTGACTTAAAATTGTGGTTAAAACAGGTTTTTATCTGATATTAATGCTATCAGCTTTAGGATTTAATTTATAGATTGGAATTTGGATAGAAACATATCAGTTCTGTATGCTGTTTATATAGAGTGTATATGAATTGGAATTTTGTCGCGTGTCGCGGGTTGGATATTTGTTTCACCTTGTGATCACTGTTAATGAACTTGTAGGAAAGTTAGATCATTTCTCTCCATGTGTTTTAGACTTTGATTTCTGGATTGTGGTAGATATAGATAGATACAGTTTGTGATAACTCGTCGTGGACTGTCGTGGGCTGTACCTGAATGAATTCTAGAGGAAAAGTTTGACATTTTCTGTCTGCATCTTATCTTGTCACTGTTTACCTGGTAGTTATCTTTGTACCAGTCAATGAACTAACTATCGTAAAGAAAGTGACTTTGAAATCATCGCAATAATCACATTTTATCTTATTGTCATAATTATTAACCTTACTATTCTTTTTTTTCTTTCTGTCTTTATGCTCTGTGTCTCAACTTTGAAGTGTGACGTGTAACGGGTTTGTTCTTGACGAGACTGGTTATTGCATAGTTACCGTGCGTGCACCTTGTACAAGTTGAACGGAGATAAACCTCTAGATAGTGCTTTACTAAATCACATCAGTTATTCTAAAAACTTTTTGAGAATATAGCACCTGGTTTTAAAACTGTGATCCGCTTTCTTGACGAGACGACATGTAATAATATGGATATGTACCTTCATGGTTAATTTTGATCCCCTATTTCCAGTAAGACTGTCCAGCCGTCCGGGCTATGAGCATGAAATGAGCTCTAGTTGATTAGTGAAGAGCGTATGTCTATGATATTAATTTCATTGATAAAAAAGACCCCAATGCGTAATTCATGAAATAATGAATTTTGTGTACTTCATGAATATTTCAATGATTTAAAAGAGACACGGAAGCGTTAACAGTATTTTGGTTTGTAACGTTTCATTAATTAAGAAATAAGACATAAAGGCGTATATAAGAATAGCATTCTACTGAAACACAATATGGAACCAACACAATATCTCAATCCTACAGCCCAGTACCGACATTACGGTGTTAACAGTCACCCCAGACAGGTGTCCGACGGTCGCTCGTCTTTGACAATCAAGGATTTAAACTATCAGGTGGACGATATCAAGGGTTATTGGTGGCAGAAATCCTGGTTTGAGGTGAAAATAAAGAAGACAGTTTTAAAGAATGTGAATATGTATTTTACCAGTGGACAACTGGCAGCCATTACAGGAAGTTCAGGTTTGTACTTTCTTTTTGTTTGAGGTTCGGATGTATTGTATAGTTTGTCCACATCTTCACATTGTCAGGATATAACGAACTACGTCTTATACCTTGATTGTAATATCCACCTTTCTTGTATCACAGAAGCATGTAAATTAAGCGACTTGATTGTATTGTACTCTAGCGAATACAGCCAATCAGAGCCCTCGATAAAAAGACCGTAAACAGTTTGGGAGCGCATGTAATCCAGGGCTATGATTGGCTTATTCGGTAGCGCTACATTTACAAACCTCCGTGATAGAAAAAAGTAGCTCTTGCAGTCAAGGTATTAGACGCAGTTCACATAGCTTGACATTCTGAAGAGTATGATTTTAACACTGTGCTAATGCCTACAGTTCAGTAAGAACGTGTAAATACTTATTCAACCACCCTCAACTCATCTCATCTTTATCTAAACGCTGTCTGTTTTCTTACTTGTACAACTCAAGTGATGATTTTGGAAAGCACTTTTCGGGGCATCATATTTTCTTGCTTTGAAGTCAATACTAAAACGCATGGACGTGATAAAGAGAGCCTGACAGGTATACCTATATAACACACGACAACTACCAAACAACATTTACTCTCCATCTTGCTATGCTTTGGATGAGATTTTGATTAACGGAATTGTCTTGCTTGTACGGATATTATACCCACCTTTATAAATAACTCAATGCATTACAAAACAAATTCAATCTTTGATGTTCGACCGACAACCTGTCTTTATGTTGTTGTTTTCAGGGTCTGGTAAAACGTCATTACTAGATGTGATATCTGGTAGAGCAGAAGGAGAAGTGGATGGTAATGTTTATGTTAATAATACTATCTGTTCTGAGAAGTCGATGAGGTCCAGGTCGTGTTATGTAATGCAGGCTGATCGACTACTGCCCAATCTAACAGTCCGTGAAACATTGAGATATACAGCCTTTCTGAAACTTCCCGGTAAAACAACACATAAACAGGTTAACGAAGAGGTAAGTTAGATTATATCTATATTTTTATATGGAGATGAATCTCTGAAACGTACAACAGAGTACAACTAGTCACTCAGTAGTTATTGGCAGACAACCGATAGGCTGCTCCCGATCAGTCGCTTAAATCAGTTGATACAAGACCAATTACAACTGTATTGTTGCCCCCAATTGGCTGTTGCTGTCTGTTTCCATGTTCTGACGATGACGACCTTATCACCCTATGTGCACCCCTAAGACGACATAAACATGCGGATTTGCAATCCAAGGTTTTCACTGCTGCAAATGGTCTGCTTGCCACGGAACTCATAAAACAATCGCCATTGTTTGACTTACCTTCACCTGGTGATCGTGTGGAATATTTCAGGTAGATAAGGTTATCCAGGACCTAGGATTAAAATCAGTAGCTGATTCATTGATCGGGGCTACCATCAATAGAGGAATATCTGGAGGTGAAAGAAGACGAGTAACTATTGCTGTTCAGCTATTACAAGACCCTCGTGAGATTCCTTTATATTGTTATTCTATCCTTTTTAAGTTGAGCTTTGGAAAACTTTGGTCCGAAAAAAGTTTTCCTTTGAGTCCAATTTAAAAAAAATCCAGCTTGGAGCAAGATGGTTATTCTTTAGACACAGTTTCCCAGCCTCGAGATCATGTGTTCGATCCTGAGAAGGTCGAGATAGCATAGGTAATTTGTCAACCTATCTTTCTAGCGAGTTGGTAAAATTACTAATGGTAAAACAATTTTGAAGCCACTGCCTGATGTCGGCTTTCAAACCCTATGATCTATCTATTTCAGAAATCATCCTATTGGACGAACCAACCACTGGGTTAGATAGTTTCACGGCTCGCTATGTAGTCAATAACCTCAGGGATCTGGCCCACTCTGGTAAAATAGTCATTATGTCTGTTCATCAACCTCGATACGACATTCTTAAACTGTTTGATCAGGTCGCCATTTTGTCACAAGGGGAGGTAACTTACTATGGACCACAATCCGAGATGGTACCGTATTTTACCAGTATCAACTACCCGTGTCCAACCTACGCTAATCCTATGGATATTTACAGTAAGTATTTGATGTTATATTTGAGTGTGAGTGAAAAATAATAAGAATACGACAAAAACGTTAGTAAGTATGTAAACTCTCTGAAAGAGATGCCGAGTTGATAAACCTAAGTTCCAAATATTAGCGTGAATTTGCGTGACCCTGGCAAGTAATAAAAAGACAATGGGTTAGATTTAAGAAATAGCTAAACGCATCGAGTCGAATTCTTATATTTACAGTTGATGTAAGTAGTATAGACAGACGATCTCCTGAAAGGGAGGTAAGTTGTTCATTACGAGTTACCAACCTTGTTACTAAATATAGACACTCCGATCAGTATCTCAGCATGATGGACAATATATCACGTGGTACCTCTGACGTCACTAAACCAAGCTATATATCTACTTCCGGTCCTGGAATTGGTCGTATTCTTTACACATTGACTAGGTAAGCTTCGTCTTTTTCTTCGTACAACCCAAAGTCTGTTCAAAATTCAAATTTGAATGAAGAACATAAGATATTTCGCCTTTCTCATCGTTCCGGGTGACGAAAAGGTCCAGAATATTAAGATTAAAGGCAAATCATCAGAGTTTAGTGTACCAGATGTACGTTAAAGCCCCCTTAAGAATTTGAAATTAAAAAAAAGCGTAGGCTAATACTGTGTCCTGGAAAAAGCATGTCACACCTTAATTGCTTAGTCGACCTTCATTAACTGAAAATTATATATATAATTATACAATTTGTTTATTTTCAGTCGATTTTATGTGAATCTATGGAGAGACAAGATGATGTTTGGGGCCAGAATTGGAAATTTCCCGCTCTTTTCTATATTTATCGTCATGTTTCTAGGCACGATGACGTATGATCAACAGAGTATCCAGGACAGAACTGGTCTTCTATATAATTCTGTCAGTTCCCCACCATTTATTGCCATTATTAATTGTGTCCAGATCTGTAAGTAGACCTTGATCTATGTTTCCTATCTTGAAGACCCTCTTTCATATTTTCTACGCTTAAATACCCCTGGTAAGCAACTGACACAGAATGGGACCAAATACTCCCACAGTTCATAGAAAGATATCTGACCACTTACAAAAAATCTTCTTTCGTAGAATTTAACAATCGGTTCATTAGACCTGGCCTCTGATAGTTTGTACCTCATTTCATTATTATTAGTGGCATATTTAGGGAACGGCCATTGAGGAGGTTTTATTTGAGGTGAATATCAAACCCTCTAAATACTCAAAATTAATCTCAGGTCATCTGAAATCCTTTGGCTTATTGCACCCCTTTGTCTCCCGGCCTAGGGGCTTCGGAACTTCCGGCCTCGTCTCGAGACCCAGAGGTATTTTCTGGAGACGCCCCTGTTATGATTATTTCAATTATTATTATTCTAGTTCCACCATTAAGAGATGTATATTATAGAGAATGTCGAGATGGTCTATACAATGTGGTGTTATTTATATTGGCCTACACTCTTCATATCTTACCATTTATCATCCTCTCCAGTTTTGCCTTCGCTTCTTGCTTGTATTGGTAAGTAGGCATCATAATCAGTAATATATGAAAGAGAGGCTATATGAAAATGTATAGGTCATGCAAAACATTGAACTGACAAAAGCAGTTTCTAGTTCAGCCCTCCCACCACACACACACAGTATACCACTCTCTCTCACTCTCTAATACAATCAGTAATATACGTCAGAGGGTTACAGAATGATGTTACTCTATATTGTTGATATTTTGTAGGATTTGTGGGTTACAGAACGATGTTACTCTATTTCTGATGTTCGCGGCTGTTATTACTATGATGCATATAACTGGAGAGTTTGTAACAGTGTTGATTCTAGGGTTGTGCCATAATCCACAGATAGCCAACACCATCGCTAGTCTCTTTACATCACTGTCTTGTCTCATATCTTCAGGCTTAATCAGGTGAGAACAGGTTTTTGGTGCTATTGGTTCGAATCTTCATCAAGCTCAGAAAATTAAAAGTAAAACACAATGACATAAAACAATGTGTTTTTTCTCTATACAATAGAAGCATATTGTTCTACTTGCGTGATCACTTGGGCCTCGGACCACAAACTTAAACTTTATTATGTGTCTTTTCATTTGACTTTCCATGTAAATTCACTTATCACTCTAATCTTTGATACATTCGACTTTGCTCGTCAGGGAGCGAGCACACGGAACAGTCTTGGTCCCCGACCAAAATCTTGAGTAAAAAATCGCATGTTCCCGCACTTCCTAGACAAGATTATCGAGTTGTCGACAGGATTTATAATATAGTTAAACAGGACATAAATTGCCGACCAAGACCGTTCGTGTGCCTGCATCTTAAGGAATCCTGTAAGTCTATTGCTTGTTGTTCCACATCATTCCTGTATTTCGTCAAGTTATTACTTCCTTTTATATTTCTAACAGATCGTATGAATCGCTGCCTTATGTTTTAAAACTGGTAGCTACCGTGTCTTTGCCTAAATATGCAGCAGAAATTGTAGTTGGAAACGAGTTCCACAATCTGAATTTTACTTGTGTTAAAGGTAAGTGTTGGTTTGTGAGAAATTGAAAAAGCAATGTGTATATCTTCTAATCTGCTTGGACTTGGACGATTTAGAGAATGGCCTTAGTTTTTAGTCAGTTGTCATTTACTTATTCTCTACGTCGAGGTAAGCAATGGTGACCCCCCATAATAGAATGATATTCACAGGCCAATGTTGGTAACAACTAGGATATTGAGGAACTTCCGCCAATACGTTTTTATTACATTATAGAAGAATATTTATAATAATAAGATATTTTCACTGTTCAATATATTAATTATATAGACCTATAAAATTATTATAACTTATATTAAGACGACTAAAAAAGTTCTGTTTATTTTGTTTTCAGATGAACCTTGTGGTTATCAAACTGGGGAGGCTTTTCTCGACGTTTTCTACCCAGGAGCTTTCGGCCATGTTTCTAGAAATTTTGAAATAATGATCGGATATTTCTTCTTTATTTTTATCATGTCTATGGTATCGTTTAAAATCCGAGGTTTTCCTACACTTCAGTAGTATCTTGTATACATACTGAAAATATGAAATAGTAGTACAAGAAGTTATGGTCCTCGAGGCAAGGGCAAGTAACAAGCCTACATCAAGTGTTATATCTTAGATAAGTAATTATATACATGATTTCGAGATGTATGGACTGCTACACATTCTCTTGAAGGATGAGGCTCCCAGACGAATTGGTTTATCAGTTCATCGTATAGATTTATAATCAACACTTATCATCAAACGATCGAGAAGAAATATGGCAATAAACACTATGTATTTCTTCAAGCATTGAAGTCACTGTGCCGCCGAGTTAGAGACAAAATCACTGTTTTCTGAAGAGGATCTCTTTAACGTGCAAAATGACGTTGGAATATGTGTACATTTTGAGACAAATTTAGCTCTCATTCGTGTTCGTGATCAATAAATGATTTAAAAAAATGGGTTTTTAGACGTTTCCGACATGATGTACCGTTATATTTAGAATAATAATGACTACTTGGAAAAAAATATCGGTTTTTAAACAGTGAAGAAACATCGTTTAACCTTGTGAAAAATGACTACTTTTTTTTAAATCTTGACTTGACACCGAGCAGTCGATAGAAGTATTTTTATTCTTACAGTGTCCTGATATTAGGTCGACTATCTTGATAGAATTACTACATACAGAATAGTGGTCTTCCATCATATCTTTTTTATTATTTCATGATAAAAACATAACACAGACTATTAAAACTATTTTGAAGTATTCATTGTCATTTATTGCATATTTCAATGTAGTCGAATTCACCTGGACAAAATGGGATCAGATTAGAGAGGGAGTGGTTGATGAACAACGATTCCTTCTATTTACAATAAAATATTAAAGTTAGTACGCCTTCCAAAAGAGTTTGATGAGATACATAAGTTAATATTCGTACGGTCGTTGAGGTAGAAACCGTAACGCAAGAAATCCAGCCACCAATAGCACGACAACGTTTGCTGATATTACTGTAAATGCCACCCATATTTCATCGTCTGCCATCGCGAATTTCTCCAGCGCCACTTCTCCAGTATAGATACAGAACTCTTTCTGGACTAACTCACAAGTAAAATTCCGTGGCTTGATATCGAAGTGAGCGGCTGCCGATAACGCCCATCTATAGTAGGATATATCAGCTAACCATCGGAACCCTGAAATGAATGAATGAATGAATGAATGAGTGAATGAGTGAATGAATGAATGACTGTAGGAATAAATGAAATGAATTTTACCCACGTTTCTTGTGATAGTATACAGTATACCGAGCCTGAAAGAGAAACACTCCAATACATTGAAGCTTTTGGCTAAATAAGACTAATTTCTGAAATTAATTAACTGGCTCCGTATCAAATGATTCATAAATTTGTTATTGGGAGTAAGAAGTAAGAAACCATACCTGAACCCAGTGAATCGAGATTGATGAAGAACCCACTGACTAGAACTAGTATACCTGATATCATATTACTCAACATACTGGCGAAGGTATAGTTAGGTAGGGTGGTCGAGGCGAACACAGCCAAACTCCGACAACAATACAACAACAACGACACGGTACCTAACAGTTTAAAATACGTTTCTGTATCGTCGTTAAGATCAGCCATAAAATACGCTGGTATGAAAAATATCACAGAAAAAAATATATGAAATGGAAACTCGGCTGTTAACTGAAATAAAATAAAATAATATTCATAAACAGACGTCTGATTGAAAAATAGGTGCAAATCGTTGATTCAGTGTTCTCAATACACATACAAAGTTTGGTCTGTTCACAATTCTTTTAAGAGAGGAGGTACTAGAAGACAGGTTCCTTGTTTTCTTAAAATCAATGTCAAGAAGTTTGGCCAAGGACCAGCTGATAGAAATAACCATTGAGACTCTAATTTTCATCAGAAATGTGTAGTTCTCTCTCTCTTTTCATATGTTACTAATCAAGGATGCTCGCCCTGATCTACATTTTGATTGGGTTGGGACATTTATTTTTATGAACTAGAGGTGGTGAAAACAACGTTACCTTGGCAACGTAATAAGCAAAATGTCCATACATCTTATCTTGTAGTTCAAAATATAAATAATTTCTTTCAACAGCATCTAAAAATACAATTCAATCTTGTTATAAAAAATAACTTAAATACTATATAGGTAAGAATATCCTACTGTTGAAAACAATGTCCTGGAAAGCAGCAATAAAAGTAGGTCATCTGAAAACGATAGTTATCTCCCTTTGTATCGGTGGAAGTTGATACGGAATGTTTAACTATAACTTTCGAGATGTTTTATCATGTACAGCCCGTACGGGGCCACGGTTTATTCCGCACGGGGCCACAGTTTGTCTCAAATGCTAGTATGGAACCCTGGGCTTATTCACTGAATCATCGTGGCTCCAGTGTTGAAAGAAAAGATGATGGGGTAAAACAGCCTGTAGACTTACTGCGTGTGATAACATCTTGAGAGATAGAATAACCATAAAAACCACAGAGCGTGAAGAAGAAAGCGAATCTGTCGTATAAACCATGTTGATCACCAGCTATATGATAAAATACAGCTCCTACTACTAACGATACGAGTAAAGCCTGGATACCCTGAGCTAATAAACACCAGTAATCTATTACACTGTTCTTAAAATGGCGTCTGAAATGATAAAAGAGGGTTACAGAGTAAATATACGCCGTGTGTCTGCCGACCCTAACCTCATACACGTGCTTCTTCAATTCTTAACTCTATAGATGAACTGCAACGTATCTCGTCTATTTGCAACTGAACACCGACTGGTGGAGAGTTTGGTCATCTGCTTTCACAGCAACCCAAGATTCAAGACGTGTATAGAGGTTGCGGCTGCAGAACCTTAGATTGGAGGGGGCCACCGAAAAATATTTTTCGAATCCATTCTATAAGCAAGTGCCCATGGAAATACTTTAGAATATAAATCTTAAATCCTACTTTTATGCGTTTTTTACACGAAAAAATCAACCGTAATTACATACAACAGACACATTTTGAAGTTGCGTTGAAAAGCGACGCGGCCACTGGCCTATATTTATAGAACCTCACCTAGTTAGGACAGAAGATTGTGTGAAAAACCCGGGATACCCAATATGATTCCTCATAGCACCGGCTACAGTGTGGCCACTGGCCTATATTTATAGAACCTTACCTAGTTAGGACAGAAGATTGTGTGAAAAACCCGGGATACCCAATATGATTCCTCATAGCACCGGCTACTGTGTGATCACTGGCCTATATTTATAGAACCTTACCTAGTTAGGACTGAGGATTGTGTGAAAAACCCGGGATACCCAATATGATTCCTCATAGCACCGGCTACAGTGTGGCCACTGGCTTATATTTATAGAACCTTACCTAGTTAGGACTGAGGATTGTGTGAAAAACCCGGGATACCCAATATGATTCCTCATAGCACCGGCTACAGTGTGGCCACTGGCCTATATTTATAGAACCTTACCTAGCTAGGACAGAAGATTGTGTGAAAAACCCGGGATACCCAATATGATTCCTCATAGCACCGGCTACTGTGTGATCACTGAGTTCCTTACTAACTGGTTCCGGTGCTTCCTGCTTCTCCTGGGCATCTTTTTGAGCTTGGCAGAGATTCTTTAAAACTTCCGAAGTTCTTTTCTCCTTCTCTTCCGATGTTACATCAATCGTCGCCAAATCAACTGAAAAAACAGAAGGTTAGAAAAATAATGTGTAACTGTGGGTCCTTTGTTTCTTTCTCCATTACAACTTGCTGATATCAAGGGGTAGTTAAAGTTGGATGCAAGACTTCGATTTCCAATTTCTACCCAGATAACTACAGTTTATATATTTATGTATTTGTTGTACTTACGGTAAAAGTCAGAAGGGTTGGTCAACTGAGGACAGGGGAAGCCAAGATCTGTAAAATATTGAATCATTTCCGGAGCCTCACCAAAATACACAGTTTTACCTCGTGATAATACCAGTACCATATGAAACAGCTCAAATATATCAGTCCTGAAAATAACAACAAGAAAAACTGTGAGTTTTTGAGGCTTAATATGATAATATGAAAGAAGTTTGCGAGCACCTGTATGACTTTTGAGAACGATTGGTTGAGGAGTTCCAGATATGTCTAGAAATTGGGAACATTTATAGTTTCTATTTGTACGACTCTTCTATTCTATCTACTGTCTGGTTCTGAACAGGTTTTTTAATATTGGAGACCTTTATATTGTTTACCTGGGTTGATGTATAGACATGATAATAGTTCTCTGTTTTTTGGTCAGGACTTCAAGTGTTTGTATCAGATGATTGGCTGTGAAGGCATCGAGACCGGAAGTTGGTTCATCTAGAAACAATACACCTGGAATAATAGAAATAGAAGTAGCCATCAGTAACTATACTGGGTGAGTTGGAGGGGTTCACCTAGCTCCACCCTCGCCACAGGGACCCAGAACAAGTATTTTCACATCATTGAAAGGTTTCTGGATAGGGAATACAATGGAGAAACCCGGATGGAAAATAACCAACACTTTACGGCAAATATATCGGTCTGCTGACAATTTGTGAATGATTGCGTGTGAGGGTTGTAGTCCGGGTGGATGTGTTTTTATATATCTGGCTTGTCTACTTGTTATCTATATAAACTTACTAGGATCCATAAGTAGCTGTATTCCTATACTGACTCTCCTTCTCTCACCACCGGAAATACCCCGAATATTAGCGCCACCTACTCTTGTGTTAGACACGTGACTTAAACCTAACTCTGTTAGAACCTCGTCCACCTAAAATATAAATATATGTAAAAACGTTCATTGCACAAACAGAACAAGTGTTGATACTATAACTATACAAACAATAGTATTTGCTGATGTTGGTAAAGCCTTTGAATGGTTCTAACAGGTCGTGTTACCATCAACAGAAACCAGAAACAAACAGTTGCACTGAACATTTGGGAAGTTCCGACGAGCCGTATCTTGTAACGTTACGAAAATCTTTGGGTATTTGTGACGGCATGTTTCTTGCAAGTTACTAAACTTTGGGTATTTGTTGTGGGTCGTTTTCTTGTAACGTTATGGATGGCTTTTGGCAACGTTATGAGTGGCTTGTAGTTTTGATCTACCCATTTGTAAGGTTAGGAAACATGGTTTGTACTATATTCTAACTGTTAACCCTTTCCCATACCAAGAACATTGATAGATACCTTGCTTTCTTTCTCAAACTGGGTTAATTTCGAGGGTAATTTTAATTTGGCCACAAACATCAGAGTTTCTTTCACTGTGAGGTATTGAAGCAGACGATCATCTTGTCTGACGTAGGCTGAGAAATGTTCTATCATATGTTTGGTATGTTTAACACCGTTCAGTTCTATATCACCAGTTAGCGTACCCCCTTCATTCCGACATGATAATACATTTAATAGAGACGTCTTACCGCTTCCTGGAATTCAAATTAATCATTCACCACATTAAATATAAAGTCACGTAAATATAAAGGGATGGAGGTTTACCGATCTAAAAAGATCTTTTTGAATTTTTTCAAATCAATTGTAATCTTACAGGTTTGCTACCCCAGTCTCGCTCTAAAGACATTTTAAAACAATTGAAGTTGCGTTATGAAGGTTTCTTGAAGACAGTGAAAATTGTGAGATAGCAAAAAGGCTGTCGGAAAATTTCGTTATGTACGAATACTGACCTGAACTGCCCATAATAGCCAACATCTGACCACTTTTAACATGAAAAGAGACATCGTCAATGATGACCTTCTCGGTAGGTGGCACTATTTCCTGTTTCTTTCTAAGACAGGGTAGTTTACTGGGCTTGGTTCCAGGTATTTCTATAGAGTAGTTTAAATTCTTCACTGTGATATTAATAGGTTGTTTAGTTGTAGGGTCTATATTATACGCCGAGTCCATCTCCAATCTTAAAATAGAAAACATCCTCTAAAATGGTGTTCCATATTCAAAAGGGAAAACGAAAAAACATTTCTGCAGCATAAGCTGGTAGTTATATTTTTCTATACTGTTATTTTGGATTTGTTGTTTCGTTTAGTTTGTTTTATATCCTACTGTTCTGTATCTTATTGGACTAATGAAATTAAATAGAGTTTTATATCCTACTGTTCTGTATCTTATTGGACTAATGAAATTAAATAGAGTTTTATATCCTACTGTTCTGTATCTTATTCAACTAATGAAATGAAATGGGAGTTTTATATCCTTCTGTTCTGTATCTTATTGGACTAATGAAATTAAATAGAGTTTTATATCCTACTGTTCTGTATCTTATTCAACTAATGAAATGAAATGGAGTTTTATATCCTACTGTTCTGTACCTTATTGAGCTAATGAAATGAAATGGAGTTTAATATTCTACTGTTCTGTACCTTATTGGACTAATGAAATGAAATGGAGTTTAATATTCTACTGTTCTGTACCTTATTGAGCTAATGAAATGAAATGGAGTTTAATATTCTACTGTTCTGTATCTTATTGAGCTAATGAAATGAAATGGAGTTTTATATCCTACAGTTCTGTATCTTATTGAGCTAATGAAATGCAATAGAGTTTTATATCCTACTGTTCTGTATCTTATTGAACTAATGAAATGAAATATAGTTTTATATCCTACTGTTCTGTATCTTATTGAACTAATGAAATGAAATGGAGTTTAATATTCTACTGTTCTGTATCTTATTGAACTAATGAAATGAAATATAGTTTTATATCCTACTGTTCTGTATCTTATTGAACTAATGAAATGAAATATAGTTTTATATCCTACTGTTCTGTATCTTATTGAACTAATGAAATGAAATGGAGTTTAATATTCTACTGTTCTGTATCTTATTCAACTAATGAAATGAAATGGAGTTTAATATTCTACTGTTCTGTATCTTATTGGACTAATGAAATGAAATAGAGTTTTATATCCTACTGTTCTGTATCTTATTGGACTAATGAAATAAAATGGAATAGAGTTTTATATACTTCTGTTCTGTATCTTATTGAACTAATGAACTGAAATAGAGTTTTATATCCCACTGTTCTGTATCTTATTGAACTAATGAAATGAAATGGTGTTTTATATCCTACTGTTATGTATCTTATTGAACTAATGAAATGAAATATAGTTTTATATCCTATTGTTCTGTATCTTATTGAACTAATGAAATGAAATATAGTTTTATATCCTACTGTGTTGTATCTTATTGGACTAATGAAATAAAATAGAATTTTATATCCTACTGTTCTATATCTTATTGGACTAATGAAATGAAATATAGTTTTATATCCTACTGTTATGTATCTTATTGAACTAATGAAATGAAATATAGTTTTATATCCTACTGTTCTGTATCTTATTGGACTAATGAAATAAAATAGAATTTTATATCCTACTGTTCTATATCTTATTGGACTAATGAAATGAAATAGAGTTTTATATCCTACTGTTCTGTATCTTATTGGGCTAATGAAATGAAATAGAGTTTTATATCCTACTGTTCTATATCTTATTCAACTAATGAAATGAAATGGAGTTTAATATTATACTGTTCTGTACCTTATTGAGCTAAAGAAATGAAATGGAGTTTTATATCCTACAGTTCTGTATCTTATTGGACTAATGAAATGAAATAGAGTTTTATATCCTTCTGTTCTGTATCTTATTGGACTAATGAAATGAAATAGAGTTTTTTATCTTACTGTTCTGTATCTTATTGGACTAATGAAATGAAATGGAGTTTTATATCCTACTGTCTTGTATCTTATTGGACTAATGAAATGAAGTTTTATATCCTACTGTTCTGTATCTTATTGGACTAATGAAATGAAATGGATTTTTATATCCTACTGTTCTGTACCTTATTGGACTAATGAAATAAAATGTTTTATAATCATACTATACAGTATTATAGTATACTGTTATAATCAAATGAATAAAAAATATTAACAAATGATTATCGCGAGACAATATTTCTATATATCGAACGAGTATGTTAATGAGGCTAATTGGGCAATGAATATTCATGAGGGGTCGACATGTTGATGATATTAAAGGCCGAGTATGGATCATTATAAGCTAGGTTAATATTAATAGTATGAGTTAATGACCATTAGCGTCGCCTACTGACAATGTCGATTGGTTCCTCGGGCTGGATGTTTTTGTCTATTCTTCTGTTCGGTAATTTTACAAGTCTGAATTGATTTCTTGCTCCTGTCCCCAATACAAATTTCCCCGCATTGCACGCTGTGTCACGTTGCACGTCTTCATACCAGCCAGGATAAGATAAATGGACGTAAAACTCTTCTTTTTTTGATTTCTTGCTACTATTAAGTGTAATTACCTCCCCTTACTCAATACTATACTATCTTTCCAATATTTTTACGTTCATTTCCAATGTATTTGGTACTGATGATGGAATCTCTTTCTTAAACACTAGTCTGTATCAGTTTTCTCCAGGATAATGACGTAATCAATTCCATATTAAAGATATGATTCCTACGATTAAGCAATTAAACTGGGTTTTCCCATTTGTAGATTAATCATAATATTATTTACAAATATTGGCGCCTAAAAACATATCAAGAGTTTGTAATTCCCTAAGAAATAGGTTTGTTGAATAAATTTATTTTAATATTAATGAACAATGTAGCAACTATAACTGAGATTTTCTCAAATTTTTGCAAAAATTACACTTTCAATGGTTTGCGCGATGAGAATTTTTGTTAAACATCCTCAAATATCGATCTATCGGAGCAAATTTATTATTTTACAAACCAGTGAATGTGTAATAGTAGAAATTTGAGTTCGTAAAAGTACAAAATATCTGTGTACATCTAAATGAAATAAAACGAACTTACGTGGTTGCTGTCACCAGCTAGTGAATATAAAATGACGAAGTATTTTAGGGTAGTTGAATAATCCACACCTAGCGACCTGTTTGATACAGGCTGGTGCCCGATTCAGGCGATTAATTTGTATTAATTATAATTCAGTAATTAACGTATGATTGTTGGTCATTTCAACCCACAGTAAAACAGAATACAGAGTGGAGGACGTATCAATCACATCGTTGGTGAGGTTTAAATTTTTTTGTTGGTGTTAAAAACAGGTTTCGTTTCATAAAATTATCACGATCAATCTTGACGTTTTTCGTCTTAATCAAGGGCAATAAATCAAAAGCGGTTCATTGAAAACCTTTCTAATTTTAGGGTAGCCAGTACTAGCCAAGATGGAGACGACACCAATAGTCGACTACAAACCGAGCTACTGCTCTAACAAACCAGTGATGTTAGATCCTACAGCCACATCTCAAGCTGCTCGTCTCAACATCGTTAATTTGTCTTATAAAGTTAAGGAAACCCAAGGGGCGTGGTATGAGGGTTTGTGTTTTCGACCCACCGTAGAGAAAACTGTTCTGAAGAATATCGACATGAGTTTAAATAGTGGAGAGGTCACCGCTATTATTGGAAGCTCTGGTAAGTTTCTAAAAGGAGGGGGTGGGGGGGGAGGGGGCATGGAACTGAGCTACTTTAAGGGATGTGTTGGCTCCAATTTAATTTAAATTAGATAATAATTCCGCAAAATTTTATCGTCAACAGTCAAATATTTCAGGGTTGGGGATGTAATATTTCCCACTTGGGGTCACTGACTGACGGTAGTATTTGACTTTTTTCAGGATCCGGCAAAACTTCACTGTTAGACGTAGTATCACAAAGATGTGACGGTCAGGTGATGGGGGATATCTATTTTAAAAATTATAGATGTGACCAGAACCTGATGAAGAGTTGTACTAGCTACGTCATGCAGGCTGACCGACTCTTCTCACATCTTACAGTCAGAGAATCTCTTAGATATACAGCTAATTTCTGTCTGCCCAGGAAAATGTCCAGAACTGCTCGAGAGAAGAAGGTAAACGACTTTATAGCTAATCATTTGCTAAAACTGCTTCTGTCTGTGAAGTCGCTAGTGTTTTAGACCATTTTCGAGAAAGCATCCTCGGAATTTTCATTCTGTCTATGATGCAGATGCAAACATGGGGCTTTTTATTTATCTTGTATTTTTGGTATCATTTAGGTTGATAAAGTCATACTAGAGATGGGACTGATAAAAGTTGCCGACTCGTTGATAGGTGGCGCTGTAATACGAGGCCTGTCAGGGGGAGAGAAGAGACGAGTATCAATAGCTGTACAACTTCTTAAAGATCCAGGTTTGTAGAGATTTTTTAAATAGAAGGCTGGTTGCTAGTGGCTTTCGGGACACCTTTTACTTTGCGTCTGTCACGTAGTCTTTAAATGGTTAAAGTATTTAATAACGTTTTACTTTCTATAAGATAGGTCGGGACCAGAGAGTAATCTCGCACGATTCCATTTCTGTTTCTATTTCAGAAATTTTAATCCTGGACGAACCAACAACTGGACTAGATAGTTTTACAGCTCGATATCTGACTAAAAATATCAACGATATCTCTCGAGCAGGGAAACTAGTTCTAATGACAATTCATCAACCGCGTTCAGATATCTTCCAGTATTTCGATCAGGTTGCCATCCTGTGTCAGGGGGAGCTGGTGTATTTTGGACGAGCTGATGAACTGGTCCCCCATTTTACAAGGCTGAACTTCCCCTGTCCTGCTTATGCCAACCCGCTAGATAACTACAGTAAGTATAGATTGATATCGCCCAGTGGAATCTTGTCGAAACGTCGTGTTTAGAAAGACACAAATTCTAATCGTACTTATGAAACAGTACAAGTATAATTTGTTTTTAAAGGTATACTGTTTAAATCAGATGCATGCTGAGGGTGGTGGGGGTGGTGGGTTGAAGGTGGAAGACCATCGTACGTGATTTCAAGTCACAGTTAAGGACCCCGATGATTCCATTTACTAATAAAATTTTGAACGATTTCTTTTACAAGATATTTATTTTGATACTATTAAATTTAAAAACACAAATCCGTTAAGATATTGATCAATGATAGGGTGGGGACATAGGATCCCATTGGTCTCATTTGGTTTGTCAACTGATCATCCCTTTCAGAGAGTCGACATAGTATATTATGTTATTTATTATATTACTAGTTGATGTATGTAGTATCGATAGACGAACAAAGAAGATAGAAGAAGACACCAAGACTCGGATACAGGATCTAATCATGGCCTATCGTGATTCTCCCCAACACGACGCCATGGTGGCTTCCATGAACGACAGTCAGAAAGTCCCTAAATATATCGCCTTCCCTGCTTCTAAAGAACGTCAGAATCCCGGCACCCTTCGAACCATCTGGACCATGTACAAGTAGGTATCACTAACATTCACCAACGATAGACGTAGGAAAACAAACCCTGATCGAACGTCTTCAAAAGGCAAGTGTCACATATTCTATGGTTCGAATAGACGTAGGGGAACGAAACAAGGCCGAGAATGTTTATGTTTATTAATTCACAAAATTCACCAAGGCAAATGAAGCCAGGTACCAGAAATTCAAAAAAAATTATATTGGTTTTTAGACGAATTCAAAAAGATTCGTTATCTTCTGCAAAAAAAATGAAATGATATGAATGGAGTTTTACGTCCTATTTTTCTGCACCATGTCGGCCAATAAAGACGCCATGCAGGGTGCAATGAGGGAAATTTTGCCAGGACAGCAGCATAAGCCTGCTCTTATTCGATTTCCAACTGTCGAGGTATCTTTAACGTGCACAGCCTGTAGCACACGGGATTGTTATCTTCGGCTAACATAGGGTTATTTATAATCGAACAGAAATATGAATGTACATCCGAAGATTGATTCTTTCAGACGAATGAATCTAAACTTGTATCGCGACAAACCCAACTTTAAAACGAGAATATTTGGAGGGTTTTCAATGATTTGTCTGGCAGTAATTCTGATCGGTTCTCTGGAGAATAATCAGCGAGGTATACAGAACAGAACTGGTCTGATTTACCAGATAATTACTTGTGCTCATATGGAGGGTTTCCTACTCAATATATTCTTATGTAAGTATCAAACAATTTCTGTCTTGCCACTGTTGTACACAACTTTTAATAAGGGATCAGGGGACTTATTCTAGAAAAATAACTTCAGTGCTCCAATAAAAATATATTCTTATGTTTTTGAGAATATCCAAGAAAGACCACAAAACTGGCGATTTAAAACATCTCATGGGATCTGCTATCGGGTGGGGGCACGACCAACAAAAAAGGGGCTGTCTTGGCTTAGCCCCCTGTGGCACCTACTCGACCTCTCACTATTTGATTCATAGAAATATTGTTTCGTTTCAGTTCCAGCAATGAGAGATATAAGTTATCGAGAAACTCGTGATGGGTTTTATAAAAGTTGGCATTTTTTATTGGCCTATATCTTACATACCCTACCATTTCATATCATCAGTTTAACATTAGCTGGTGTTCTAGCTTATTGGTAAGTTAGTTATTGAATTAGTGGAGTTTTACGTCATATTGTCCTATACATAAATGTTAACAGAACCTAGTTCTATGACATACTACTCTTGGGTTTTATTGTACACAACGTTTCAACAATTTATAGAGCCTTTGTGTACTGAGCATTTGTGTACAGAGCCTTTGAAGACCTGTTAGGTGTTGGAACGAGGCATGAGTAAAAATGATCATGGTTGTTTTTAAAGGTCCGGATAGCCCCAAAAAATCTAGCCCTACCCCTCGCTCAAACGTGATGAAGGCGCGATATTTTGGTATTTTAAGCCGATATCCAATTCGAGTAGGGCCAGAGTTGCCGGCTAGGGTCAGAGTTGTTTTAGCCCGCCTTTAATCAGAAACCAGTGAATATCAGGTGAAGAAAATTATCAATTCTATTTGAATATATGATGTAATTTCAGGGCCTGTGGTCTGTATTCAGATTTCGGGTATTTTGCTCAGTTTGTCGGGGTGAATTTGTTGATATGTTTCGCTGTCGAGGCCTTGGTGCTGATAGCGTTAAGATTGGTCTATGATTTTAACTTGGTAAACATGGGGATGACATTGGGTATAGCTTTAAGTTCCATCATTTCTAGCGGACTACTCAGGTATAGTATATTTTGATTTAATATAACTTAGTTAAGATTTTATATTCTATGAACCTTTATATTATATAGAATCAAAAGATATTTACCATATATGTATCGGAGTACAATTATAGCAGGTAATGTTTCATGTCTAACGATGGTTGAAATTCAAAAATTTATCGCAAATACTCTTTGGCTTTAGGGTGCAGTTTGCAGTGGCTCAACTAGATGAGTGGATGAGAGAGTTGAGTGGATCGGGCGCTTCCCCCAAAAGCTCTCATATGCATAGGCTCTCCTCCATTCTGAGAGGTGGGGCCCGTGAACTTAGCTCTTTCAATTGCTGATCTACATGTATATTGGTACAATATATTTTAACCATCTTAAATATTTCAGGCCGACAGATGAGTTACCAGATTCCTTGAGTTGGATAGCTTATATCACTCCAGTAAAATACGGTGTAGAGAGAATAGTGTATAATGAATATACTAATATTAATATAACTTGTGATAGTGGTAAGTTTATTACCATTGGGGTGGGGTGGAGCTTGCCCTCGATCCTTAACAAATAGAAAATGTGTTACTAGTGGGGTGGCGTGGTCTTGCCCTTCAGGCCTTACAAAAATGGAAAAATGTTATTTCCAAAATCGCCTTAAATTTCAAACTTTTCCAGGAACCCTCACACATCTTTAACTAGTTCCGTTCGGATGCCAAACTTCTGAAATCAATGATAAATTGTCTTTTTATTCACCTTCAAGCTTGATAATGGTCTCTATGTGAAGCACTAGAATTTCATAAGTTGGATGTCAATGGGTTTCGTTACACACATTGATGAAGAATTTTGTTTTATGATTTTTTTTAGATGAGATGTGTAACTATCGAGATGGTGAAGCGTATTTAGAGAGAAATTTCCCTCATGCTGTAGACCGAATAGACGAGAATATAGGCTGGATGTTTTTAACTACTATCATTCCTTATATTATAGCTCTCTTTGTTTATAAATTCAAGAAAACCCCCAATTTAAATTAATTTAACCTCCTTGTCAATTGTTAAATTTTAAACTTCATTGGGGAAATACATGAGCGGAATATAAAATCAGTTTTGGTGAAATGAACTGATCTGATTGGATAATGAAACTCGATTGGTGAAAATACTGAATTAAAATCAGTTTGAGTGATTGACCAATCAAATGACAGGAACATTTTACTAAGACATACGATACACTTATCTGATTGGCTAATAATATTAATTTGAGTGATTGACCAATCAAATGACTGGAACATTTTTTTACTAAGACATACGATACACTTATCTGATTGGCTAATGATATTAATTTTGAGTGATTGACCAATCAAATGACTGGAACATTTTTACTAAGACATACGATACACTTATCTGATTGGCTAATAATATTAATTTGAGTGATTGACCAATCAAATGACAGGAACATTTTACTAAGACATACGATACACTTATCTGATTGGCTAATAATATTAATTTGAGTGATTGACCAATCAGATGACGGTAACTTAAACATATCTGATTAGCTAATGAAACTAGATTCAACAACAATTCCAGTGTTTGACCAATCAGACAACCGATAGACTATACTGTGTTGATATTCATGATGGATGGACAAAAGGTTTTTATGAATTATCAACTAATTTCTTGTTTTTGTATTGTCTTGATTTATTAAAATATATAATATATTTGTAAACAAATTGATTGATATAACTCTACTATAGTGGTCACTGTATACTGTGTATTTAAGCGTAGGGCTTTGGTGTCTGGCCTCCCACGTCCCTTGGATCTGTGATTTTGTTTATTAAGAAATGAAAATTAAACCCTCTAAATCATCACAGACCATCTGAAATCCGTTGTCATTCTGGGACTTGCCTCTCTTTTTTGCCCTCTCCTCGGGCATATTCTAAATACACCCCTGAGTCTGCAGCTCTGTTCCCTCTTGCCAGTTATACGGGTGTGAGAAGTGAAATGTTACAGTTATGGTCCGTTAGTAGAATTCTATGCACATTGAAAACAACACGATGATATAAACAATCTTAAGGTTAAAGTTGTGAATAGACGAGGTCCGGTGTTCGTTGCGTGATTATTGATACAGTAGAAAACAGTAGATGTTAATTATGTCTGCACCGTGTTCAGACCCGTAGCTCGTGCGTTCATTTCTTCTATTTTCTACTGTATCGATTATTCAGCGCCGTACACCTCACTAGACACCGTACTACATCTAATCGCGGGTTACGACCTACATCGGGACAAGACACTGGAACTTCAGGTTATTGAGGAAGCGAATGAAAAGAAAAGAAAAGAAACGCCGTGATATTCTAGTCTCATTTAAAACAATAGTTAATATATTTTATTATATTATAATTTGTACAAATGTTCGTCAATTTGATTGACTTAATTAACATATAGTTGATTATATAAACACATCACAATCATCTTAAAATAACAATTAGAAGTAGAGAGAATATTAATTAAATAATAACACTATTATAGAGATACATGTGATTTGAAACGTTACTAAAATCTAGAAAAGAGTTAATAATAGTATTTATAACAGTTAAATAAGACAATTATATAGATAGATACTTCTAGAATATTTCTTACTTCAACGTTTCAATGTGGTTCCCACATATCCTAGAAGTATGAATCCATAAAATTGTCTTATTTATCTATAACCTGTGCTTCTAATATGCCTTTGAAAGATTATCTATAACAGTGTTCATATTTAATTAATTCATTTCTATTGTCAATTACAGTCCGACAGAGATAGTTTACACAATTCCAAACAGTTAAATTATTTCCTAGATTGATAGAGGATGTAGACAATCAACTTGAAGATACGGGAACAAGAGACTATTTTAAACTGCATGCCTTAAGTGTTCGATACATTAACAATCCTACACTAAATATGTTGTGGGGTAATTTAAAAACACAATAAAATTATGCCTTGAAACGACAATTTTGGATATAAAACACCAAACACGGCTTCGAATCTGTTGCTGAAATCATCCGGGACATTCACGAATAACGGCCCTACGACTTTATTCACTGGTAATCTTGTAAGCTAAAAAAAACCTCCTTTATAGCAATCCTACCTAGCGGCTAAAGCAAATGATTGTCCACTAAAATAAAATAATAATCGACCGACAACACTACCTCATTGATGAATCAACTTTAACGACGATATTACATAGTAATAAACTTTCTGTTAACAGGTTTAGATAGAGAGCTATGGATGCAGTAAATAACAACAATGAACCATCATTAACTTAGTAGACTCTTCAACGGGATGTCGAGTTAAACTAAATACCATAAAAACATTATCATCGCGGTAGACGCTATGAAAGGATACCGAAATGAAAACGCCAGATGCAAAATGCCATCGGGTGTTTTTAATGTTCACCAGATTTTCAATTCATCCTATGGATTGCGGTTGGTACATATCTGTCGGTTAGGGTTGTTGATTGAATAGGTTCATGTCAGCCTAGATGAGAGCATCCCAGTTTAGATAAGCATATTGAATAAGGGGTATGTCGATCTGGATGGGTTTATGTCGGTTTGGATTGGTATAGGTTCGTTTGGATAGGTATATCTCAGTTTGGATTGGTATATGTCGGTTTGGATAGGTATATCTCGGTTTGGATAAGTATATGTCGGTTTGGATGGGTATATGTCGGTTTGGATGGGTATATGTCGGTTTTCTCCACGTGGATAAGCAGATAAGAAAGAATATACTAGCGAACACAACATTAATATACACAAAACATTTAAATCCTAAAATTGGTCTTTGGCACTTGAATCGTAGTTTCTTTAACATTTAAAGCTCTGGATATCACCACAATCACACGTCATATCCGGTAGTCACCCTAGTCTGAAGAGTCGGGTACCTCAGTCGGAAGGGTACTGTACCCTAGTCTGAAGGGTCGTGTAGCCTAATCTTGAAGGTACTCTCTGAAAGGATTTTTACCTGTTCGCTGAGGATTGGCAGGTAAACTATTGTAGTAATTTTCTAAAAAAAAAATGATCAGAACAAGTTTAGAATTTATCTGCATTTGAAAAACTTGAAATATTGCATGTTATAACCATTAAATTCTTTAAAACAAATTAAAAACAGAATGCAAAAGGATTGTAACTCTAGAATATCATTTCTTGTCACATTTTTCTTATATCTTTCAAGAATCAAACCTAGGTTTAAATTAGAATGATGTAAATGAAGCTATAAGTGTTCTCTATAGACCGGAATGGTCAGAGCTTTACAAACAATAGGACGGCTAAATTGTAACAAATACAACTTTCTTCATTCGTCATAATTTGTCCCCTGTCCACCTAAACCCTACATGTGTGTTATATTTCAACAATACTTCAAATATACTGGACGAAATTAACCCCTTGAAATCCGACTACTTACGATTTAACCCCATACAATCCTTCCACTCGTCCATTGTCACCTGTTTATTACTATCTATATCACAAAACCGCAGAAAATTACGCCGGCATTTTCTGGGGTATTTTTTATCTTTTAAATTAGTTTTCCTAAATTTCTTCCATTCTTTCCGCTCTAAAACCTGAAAGTAGTTGACCATCATAAAATACAGTTTTATCAGATATTCATAATAAAACAAGCAGTAAATATATCATAGAGAACTGGTCGCTATTGTATATTATTTTCCCGAAAGATTCGAATATACACGTAAATAGTCGAATATACTCGTTAACGTTTCATTTATAGAATGCTCTGATCATACACGATCTTATTATATTCAAAATAAACCATAATAAGAGACTAGAGAACTGGTTGTTACTGTATCCTGATTATTAATTTGTAATAAATTCAATATTTTCATAATAAAAATCTATGCAAGCAAGACAATTCCGTTTATCAAAAATCTGGTTAAAGAATGGTTAAAGTTGTATAGTAGTGAACTCCTCCAAAGAGAAGTACGATCAGGTGTTTCGAAAAGAGTAAGCATGGTCAAAATCATGAGATGTAACCAGATCAATTCAAAATGCCAGAAGCAGATTTATTATATTTATCAAGTTCTCCATAACGACCATAAAATTTCCTTCATGATATTTGAAGTATTTACCCTATTTCTGTTGGTGTCTAGATGATCCAGTTTCCATTCCGCCACTTTCTCTCGAGACAACTTCCATTGAGCAATTCTATCACTCATTGGTACACTGGTATCGTGGGGGACGCTAAAAATATAAACAATATAATACAACGTTTGTACAGATTACATCTAAGAAGTGGGAAGTAAGGTAATCAGCTTGGCTGTAACCGGACTAAGTGAGAAAAAAAAATAAGGAGAAACCAAATGAACTTGTTCAATGTCCCTGTTAATCAATATCTCGGCTAGACCTTAACCGGACAATAACTTTACTTCAAACAATAAGAACAACAGTCTAGAGGTACTGTGTTGAAATATAACACTGGTCTATCACATCCTTACATAATACTAATATCACCTTAATACAACATCTTCACAGGACGACTGGTCCTTTTTACCGGATATACTTCCTGTACCATCAGTTATCAGACAAATATAGCCAAAACTTGTTTCTTTCAAAGAATGTACTCAGTCCAGGAAAATAAAGTTGATAAATGAAATCAAGTGTAATTATTAACCAATGTCAAAGTCGAATATTAAATTCAGATGAGAGAATAACAAGAATTAGAGAATTTTCGTACATTTTTAATAGTTCTGAAGACTAGTTACAAATATTCAAGACTCGTGGCTTTAATACAAAGTGGACTTAAAGACCTGAGATTGTAGGCAAAGAAATAATATGCAATATACGTAGGGTTAAACGTAAGGTTAAAAAACCTAAATGATATAACTGCATTAGACAATGTAACTTACTGCAGCAATAAAATTATACCACAATCGTCAAAATTAATAAATCAAATACTACCAACGGCTAAAAAATTCTTCATATAGTTTAAAAAGTATTTATTTCAAAACAATGTACAAACAAATATACACATCACATCAAAAATTCTTCATATATTTTCAAAGATAAAGCTATGTATGTATCTGTATATAATTCAAACCCAATATTGCAAATTTCTGCCCTGTCGTGACGTCACGGCTCCCAGCAATAGGAACTTTCCTACTTATCATATTCATTAACCGGGTGTTGCACTCCTCGTGAAAATGTGCAGCTTTGCCCAATATGCAATAAAGATTAAGCATGCCCCGCCTCGCTAAGGATCCCCTATATCAACAATCCCACACTAATCATATCGTCAAGAGTGAGTTGGCTATGTACTATTAATCGTGTTGTAAAGAAAAGTTTTCTTTTGTCGATAATCCTCCCTAATCCTTACAATAAACATTACAAATCCCTACTCGTCACACCTGACACGTGTTTCTAACAGTTTCTATATAACTACTGTCAAATAATATTCATATCAAACTACCTCGTTACTTCATTCGATTGATGAGCGAAAAGGGCACTCAATTTGATTTATTCCGCTTAAAATTAACCTAAAGTCCAATGCACACTTGGCGATTTTATTCGACGTAAATTATTGGAAGTTATCGTGAAATATCTGGCACGTTATCGTTTGATAGAAAGACATTCTGACGATCATTGTCGACTAATGTAGGGGTGATTTGGTCGTTTTGTCGGGGTCAAGTTCAAAAGTAAGGCAAAGGTATTCCAGGAACGTACCACTTTCTCATGACATGACGGTTCTCTGCAGTAGACTGATAGATGCACTCCTAACTACGCGTCCAGATAATTGTAAACTCTCACAAAATCATACACGGTTCCTTCAGAAGATTGGTCAGTGTGCGACGGTCTTTATCACAAGACATCAGTATTTCAGCTCATTTACTGACCTAGTATGTAACTTATAAACGACTTATAAAATATTTCAAATTGACCCATTATAAACTATTATCAGATAGGCGTTCTTTTAAATTATCATCGTGAATTTGAGACAGATATACTAACTATTGATATATTTATATTTTTAACAGTGATGTTCATGATGACATGGTATAGCAATATAAAGGGCACTTTCTTAAAGATATTCATTGCAACACTTTTAAATTTTAATGCAAGCCAGGTGTGTGAGATCTAAAGGCCAGGGGTATTGAATGAAATTTATTATGACATAAACATTTTTCATAATCTGTTATTTTTATTCGTCTATCAATAAGTTATTTATCATAAAAGGGGTCTAGCCAGATCGAATGAGCATAGCCTTATCTAAATTAGTCCCACAATCAGTCGAATCAATACCTCGTTTGTTCAAATTATTGACGGATCCCAATCTGGATTTTTTAATTTAGTTCAAGACTTTCCAATACTGATCATCATCAATAGGGGAAATTAGACGCATAGAATACCTATCACTAACAACACGACTGATTGTCTGACCTTGTGGACTGTGAAACTTGTCGAAACAGACTTTACATTTGGAATTGTCGTGTTTAATTTAAGAGTTTTAAATGGTAATTAATTTAAGTGGTAATTTTCTATTTGGAAAACTAAAATGGTATAGCTCGTTTAAATATCCTTTTTAAGTGCCCTAATTATTAGGTACAGGTATTTTTGCAATGAAGTTAAAATGAATTAGCTGTTCACAGGGTCGAGTTGACTGAACCACTAAAACTTTAATCTGTAGAGTATACAGCCCACATCGTCTTATACAATACCAGGTATTGTCCACAAATATGCAGTCTCATGAATAGAATTATTAATCGCTTTCATCACAGTTTGATTGATCCTAGATAAAACGTGAATAATCTGAACACACAAACAAAAGGTGTTTTTACTCGCAATCCACAGGTGTGCACATTCTTTCAAAACAAAGTACGTTATATCCCTTTTCATGCAATCTCAACCGAATAAGGACGTGAAGCGATAAAAACACAGTTTCACAAGGTTCGTCAAATATGAAATTATCCCTAATCCTGGACATAAAACGATTAATATTTAATATTATACTGTATCTATCAGTATGTCAAACAGGTTTAACAATATTCAGCTATGAATGTGCAGTCTCTCCGAATGAGATGCTTCGTTGATAAAACAAAATACAAAACATTATGGACTCTCTGAAGGGATGTCGAGGTGACAAACATAAATACCATATTAGCTATGTGGACTCTCTGAAAGAGATCTCGAAGTGACAAACCTAAATATCAAATAAAAATTAATAGCTTTGAGGATTCTCTGAAAGGAAGGTCGCGTCCACAAACATAATAATAACGATACTTGATTAGCTATGTGGACTCTCTGAATAGTATTGCGTGCTTGAAAGAATGAACATAATGGATGTCAACTTGACAACTCTAGGTACCAAATAAACCATATTTGCTATGTGGACTCTCTTAAAGAGATTTCGTTTTAACAAACCTACATACCTAAAACAATTTCGGATTTAGTAAACTAGTTGGAATTCATCCTATTACAGGAATGAACATAAAAGAATAAAATCTAAACTTACGTATTAATGCTATTATTGCCTCTAATTTTAGCCATTTCCGCGGCCAGGTCCGACATCAAATCCATCAGAAATTTTCTCTTCTGTTGAAACGGACAACCTAAAATAAAAGCTATGACTACTTACAGATGTTTTATGATAATCAGATACAGTTTATGTCAGATTGCTGAAGAAAATCAAGAGCCCGAGTATCTGTTTTACTTGGTTATTTTGTTTTAGCTAGTAAGATTGTGTTAACCAATACTTTTTATACCCCCCCCCCCCCCCTTCCCAGTCCATCCTAACTATTCATTACCCCCTGCAGACTTAATAGATGGATTTAGAGATGGAATAGCTTAACCATACCCAACAAGGGGAGAAAATCTTTGTTTTGATATCAAACAAGTGTTCTCTTGTAATCCCGTCCAATCTATAATTTGAATAATCATGGCTCACCTTTCATTTCCCGTTCAGGTTGCATGGTACAGTTGGGTTCCTGTTTATAGGTGGAGGTACCCGGTATGGGGGTACCCTTAACGGTCTCCACGCACCAGCAATACTGGGTGGCCTCATGGCACTGAGCTTTATCCCAGTTTCCATCTTCCGTACATCGCGGTATATAGATATTAGCTTGTGGTTCATTACGATGGTTTAATTTAGCTACTTTTTGTTCATCCATACAACTTCGGGATTCTGATAAGAAAAGCAAATTTCTATTTGACTATTCAGCATGCGATACCTCTAACAATGAAGTTGTTTCTTTTATGAAACAAAACCGACAACCGTTTCCGTTTCAGTCCTTATATCCTTACTGAACGAATATTTCCAAGCTATTACGAGCCCTGTCTTATACCTTGATTGCAATAGCCACCATGCCTGTATCATGGACGATTGTAAATGGAGCGATTTGATTGGATTGTGAATACATCCAAGTATAGCCTTTGACAGAAAGACTGTTAACCTTATGACTTATTGTTTACAGACTTTCTGTCGATGTTTGTGATTGGCTGTATTCGCTAACTTACATCCGACTAAATTGTTGCAACTTTGGTGATACAAGAAAGTTGACTATTGCAGTCAAGGTATAAGATGAAGTTTAATAGTCATCATTTTGGTATTCTATCCCCTTCTCATGATTTTTTAGAGGAACAATCCGTTCAAATTGACTTGAGGACCAATATTCTTAGGAAAACCACCAAAATCTTCATTGTCTTGGCTGTTTACCCGACCTTATCTTTCCATTATTCACCAACTTCGCTCCATCCATCGACAATGGGTGCAAATCAAGCGTGTTTGTGTGTTACAGCCAAACCGATTTTTAAGAAATTCTATTCAAAGCTACTTACCGATTGGCAAACAAGCAAAATTATAAAAACCCACTTCCAATGACAAACTAAATGCAAGTTACTACTAGATTTTGTCCGAAAGCCGGATGCACTACAGCGCCACTGTGTTGATTTGTGGTGGTTATACTAAGAGTAAGTCCTACCAACAGATCGCCATAGAATTATAAAGAAGAGACGTTAAAGAATTCCTTTTGATAAAATGATTTACTTGTTTTGATCTAAAAAGCGGGTACCTGCAGATAACGTAATAGCGCGATAAGATGAACTATGACGTCACCCGCCAGTAACGTTATAGCGTAATTAGATAAATGCTTGACGTGTTGAATAAATAATTCTATGACGATCTATTGAAGTGAAATATGAAAATAGAAGATTCTAACCGAAATTATTGGTGGGTGTTAAAAATGGAGAATAACCTTTCTTCACAAATGGATCTTCTTTTCGTGATGGCGTCGAATGAGTCAGCGAGGCTGACGGAAGTGAAGATTTCCATGGTAGACGTAATGCATCAACTTTGATTACAAGAGAAATAAATTCAGTTTAGTTTTTAATCTTGTGAACAGATTGTTATTGCGTTGATATAATTCGGGGGGTGGATAATTACTTTTACTTTTTCTTAAAATGCTCGTCGACGTTCTTCCATGACAAATTTTAATTCAATACCGTATACACGCATCATAGTCAGCGATATAACCAACTAGACTCTAGAAGCATTCAGCACTCTATTTGCTAATCATATAAAATAACCTTTTCCATTACGAAGCACAAGCACAAATCACTACAAGTAAACGGCTGTCGATACCAGAACCATACCACTTCATTACCCTTAAGGCATAAGCAAATGTGGACTCTCCTAAAGCAAGATATTCTCTACTTTATTACAATTTTATCTCACCCAAATTTTTGACCCACCCTTACCCGCCTTTGAAATATTATCATGCTTGTATCAATGAATTAAACTCTCGGTTTGTATTATCCTATTTCTACAGCGTCTACAAAGTTCCTTATTCGATGTTGATTTAAATTTTACGATGCGACATTATAATAATTAGTTTTCTTCTTTCACTGAACTTTGATGAGCTTTACCGAGTTATGTACGATGATGCAAATGAATTCTCGATTATTGCATACACAATTACAAAAGCTTTCTTCAATCCAGCCAGGGCTCCTGGTACAATAGGCACTTTGCTTCAAAATTTGTCAGTCATATTGACTATAGTTCCATTCTACAGCAAACATGCAGCTGCGGGCTTATACATGCACACAAATAGTTCAAAAATAGTTCATGCAAACACCATCATGCATGAAATGAACGTGTAAATGATCGTGCTGGGAAGTTAGATTGTGCAACCATCTTCCAAGCAAAAAAAAAGCTGCTAACAAACTAGGGTTGGTGCGAAGTTTTCTATGTAATGCAACAATTCAGATCACACGTACATGTGCATTCTCCGAATCCATGATCAAACGACTAATGTTCGATGGTGCAGTTCTATTTTTGGTGAAGGGATGTTTTGACTGGTGATAATACAACGACAATACCGGAAGTTCACAATTGGCGCGAAAAATTGTATTACAAATGGTAAGATTTTGTCTTTAAACAAAAGAAGTCAAAATAATAAAATTTCGATTTTTGACCTTTGACCTTTGACATTACAATTTTGACGACAGCTATTATAATTATACTATTGAGTCTGTTGTATGCAAATTTGTGGTCCATACAAATGAATATTAGACAAGACCATAACATTTTGGTGTAATGGATCTAATTCTGAACAAGGTGAAATACAGTTTTACTTCCTGTTGATAATGGCTGAGTTTTAATACCAGATGCTGGAATAAGGGTAATTTCATGCATGCAGGGTAGGGATTTGGGGTAGGTATTCCTAGAAGGCGTATGGTAGAGTAACAATCAGCATTACAAGAAACAAACAAAGTCAATGAATACAACAGATACTCCAACAAAATGCAACAAGAATCAATCAAAGCTGATTGGGATATCAGGACCCCTTTTCTCAAAAGTCCGTACGACTAAACTTACACGTTAAGTCAAGAAAAAGCGTTATTTTTTAAGTTATCAACTCATTGAGGTATAACGTTTATGCTCGTATGTTAATCTACGATATTTTGAGAAACGGGGTCCGAGGGAATATCAAGGTCACATGCACGATGAATTGTGATGAAAGTTAAATACAACATAGAACCATTTCGGTTATTATATTCTGGTGTACATTTATCATTACGATGGTGACTACTGTCGTCAAAGTAAGAGTATAACCGATTTACTCCCCGGTCATAGTTTTCGTGAGCATTTTAGAAACTGAACCCCGTTTAAAACAAAAAAGTTTTCTTAATTTCAGACTTTGGGGAAACGAGGCCAGTATTCTGACCGAGGGAAGGCCACAGCAAACTTTCAGCACAATTCAATAAAATGAAAGTAAAGCAACAAACCGGAAGTACCTTCATTTCTTCCCACGACATCTAACGGTGAATCTTCCGCCTGGCCATCTGAGTTCAGAGAGACGAACAATTGAAATGAAACTATAAATAGATTGAGCATATATCTTCTGTCAGTTATCTTTTATATCACGTGATCTATGACGTGGAAATGCAGTATGTACTACCAGCAACATATCTTAATTTGGCTTATAAAGATGCTTGGTTTTTTGCATCCTCAAAATTTGGGCTTGTAGGACCAATATGATATCAACGTTGTCAGCTATTCAGCTCATGAAGTTAATCACTTCTGTATAATGTACTCTATAGCTTGACTGTTAGCGCAATACAGAATATATAGCAGTTACTAGCCTATATATTTCACTACGAAAGTATTGAGTATGTAGATTAAGGCTCAGAGAAAGAGGCTTCAAGAAGCTCGAGAGAAAAGCCAAAGGTCCAACCACCATAGCCAAAGTTTTGTATAATAGGAGAGGCAAGGTAGATAAATCGAAAGCGAAAGTTGATATGAGAAGCACGTTTAAAAAAAGATAACTATAGAAGATATATACTACACTTACTAACTACCGGAAGTAGCTGAACTCACAGCAACACCAGTTATCTCCCCTGAACAGTGACCTCGAGATTGTATCAAGTCCCTGTGATGTTATAATCGAGTCCCTGTGATATTGTAATTTAATTCTGATGAAGGAGAAGAAATGAGAAGGCTTGTCTACTCTGAGATTTTTACATTCTGTCGGTTCTGATATAAAAGGATAGCTTGTCAGTTATAAATCGTAAGGTAAATCACCATGAAGTAACATTTTTTCAAAGTATATTGGTATTCATAGTTTTTCGAATTCTCTGAAAGGGACGACAAGGACAAAATCCAAATGAACAATATTCAGGATCGCAAAGTTTTCAGTTTTCAGGTTTCAGATGAGCTATCTAAACTTATTTTTAAGATTAAAATTAGACAGTGTAGACAAGCCTTGTATTTTGTTAGCAAGAAATGAAGGTCTTAGAAAAAAAGCATTATATTATTATAGAAACAGGTGCCCGTTACCAAAAAGCAGAATCAATAACAAGTGATCACATTGACAGCACAGCCTGCGACTGAAACATCTACAGTTCTCAAGAGTTACGAGTAGATCTTCCACAACGATGATTCTCAGATAACAATTATTACAGTTTGCAAGTTTTCAGCCAGCAGAGCAGGGATATATTGGGTTCAAGACATCATACAGAAAGCTAGGATACAGCCAAAGCACGAAGCACAAAGCGTTAAACAGTTAAACAATATGGTACGTTTGGATATCATGATATTGTCTTTCTGATTAAGTTGTTTGGACATGAATATCTTTATAACTAATTATCACTGATTGTACATATTGACCAATCAGATTTCGAGCTATTTTCAGAACCATTAAGATTGAGATAAACATACAAGAACTTTGATTGGTTGATGTTTAATACAGTGATACCATTGACCAATCAGATTTCTAGACTATTTTCAGAACCATTACGATTGAGAAATACATACAAGAACTCTGATTGGTTGATATTATTTTCAGTGATACCATTGTCCAATCAGATTTCTACTTGTTTTTTCAGAACCATTACAATTGAGAAATACATACAAGAACTCTGATTGGTTGATTGAGTGATACCATTGTCCAATCAGATGTCTAGAAGTTAACTAGACAAGAAAATTGTAAGGTTTTGAAAACAAGACCCAGATTTGAAATAAAAATGAAAGATGGTTTATACCTACATTTAAGATCAACGCCGAGACACAGAGTCCATTCTTTCTTCTCAATCCTTTTATTTCCATCAGAATCACAATATTTTAAGAATCTTTTGGCACAGGAACGAGGTTTGATCAGTTTGCGAACCATCCGTGCAAACGATCGTATTTCTTTAAATCTCAGTAATCCATCATTGTTTCTGTCCAGTTCTGAGAATTTCCAGTCGACAATTTGCTTCTGAATGTTGACAGTGTCTCCCTTATCGTCCTCTGGAAATAATCATGTTGAAATGGAGGTTAATGTCTTACTTTTCTTTATCGATTTGGCTTAATGAAAAGGTGAATTTGAGGTAAACCCACCGAAAACCAGTTTAAGGTCAGTTGGACGAATTCTTCCTCGCAATGATTTTGACGGAGAAAAGGGGATCAGAAAGGTGATGTCCTGTAGAGATCTTTGAATTTTAAACTCACAAGAGGTGTTATTCACAACAGTACAGGTCGAGGATTCAGATATATACTCACTAGAAGGTGGTACTGTCGTCTGAACACTGGTCCACCTTCGGTACTCGTCACTGAACACACGAACTAGATCACTGTTAAACGACTGTCTATCTGATCTGTTACATGCTGAAAAACACAACATTGTCTAAGTAACATGAACATATAATATACATTTCTATAATCAGTTATAAAATATTTTCACTGCAGTGGCGGAGCCAAAAGGGGGGGAGCAGAGGGGGCAGTCGCCCGCCTCCCCATCGTGGCCCCGAAAGCAAGTTTTTCGGGCTAAAATCCCCCCCCCCCCCCACCGCCCCCGCGGACGTAAACCTGGCTCTGCCATTGCTTCACTGTTTAAATTAATTCTATATACAATTGTAGAGCGTTCTGTTTTAATATTTCTACATTGCTATAATCATATAAACTTGTTTGTTAGAGACTTAGAGGTAGGGCAAAAATTGATATTTCTCGTGATGGCTCGAGATCCTTCAAGGCTATTGGTAATGGATCAGAGAACTAGCCGGGTTATATTATCGTCAAAAGTATTTTAAGTGAGTGAGGGGTGAGAGGGGAAGGGTGGGGGGGGGGGGTTAAAGGTGTGGTCTAGTAAACATACTTTTTCTTACTTTACCTTTTCTTTTTCTGGAGCGACCTTTCTGTTTTCTTTTCTTTCTACCTGTAAATTACATAAACAATATCAGTAATTCTTGATAGTGCAAAAATATGAGGGAGAGGCCAAGTTAAAAATCTTAATTTATGTCAGACAACGGCTTGGAAAGAAAGGGACACTAAACGACTTCTCTGGTTGTGAGCAATTGATCACAAATATATCATTTTCATCAACCCAGAGACGATTGGAGATATACGGTTTGTGAAAAATCTGGTCGGACTGGGGTTGAGTCTCAATTCACATTAATTGGTACAACACAGTCTGACCTTGTGCAAATCTAAAAATGATTTTCTTCTTCTTTTTTGGCATTCCGATTTATATGAAACTCAATGGCGAATGAAGAGCCAAGTATGAAAGAACGAAAGAAGTAATCTTGATATGCATTTTAATCAAATTGCTTTCATTTTGGCAAAGAATTTGATATACGAGGTCAACCAGCTATAAACCATGTCATCTATCTTAAAATCTGAAACTCAAAAAATAGTTTTAGATTCATAGACTCGATCTATTTCACCATTTGTATCACAAAAACATGTTTTTAGATTAACAGACTCGATAAGAATAAAACTGTACAAATTGTAACTTTTCCATTTAGATAACAATCTGACATTACGACTTGTTTTCATTGTATCTAATGCTATTTATTTTAATCAAACCATTGTTGTCTGTAATCAGAAAGATCGACATGACCTGAAGCTATTATCGCCCTTTGTGTTACTCTCTGATCAGTGAGGATAAGAAAGGTGTAGTATGTGTTTATCATTCAGTGTTAAATTCCAACAGAGCATTAAATAGTACACAATGTCGAGTTTTAACGCCTATTACAAGTGGCTACAGTTGATAACGCCCCTCTTGAATGGAGAAGATTGTCAGATAAAATGAAAACTTGATAAGGTACAAAGTGCCAGAAGTAGCGATCATTTATTTCAGCTCAGTTTCTGTGGTTAAAATGGACATTAACACCCACGATACAATCAAATCGTGCATCTGGTAATTTGTTCCCTGTGGCGAGCTGATTAGAACATCACCACATTTTGATATCATTGTGTCTGAAGAGTTTTATGAAAACAAGATGTGCAAGACTGATATACAGTCCCATTGAATCAACACTATGATCAGCTGTATAACGGTTGTCGCCAGTGGTTCAACTAGAGTTGGGGGCCCTCCACTGGGAAAGTCCCTTTTTTTTACATATGGTCTCCTGTATTCTGAGACCCGTCTGTAAGTCAATTAAATGCCTGTTGTTCATTTTTGGGAGGTGACGGGTCCTCGGTGGACTGTGTTCAACAAGTCCCTATGACAGTTGACCACAGCACTGTTGTAATCTGTATCGTGGTTGTCAAGGTCAATCAGTTGCAAAATGATAAAAGATTTGAAAATTGATAGATTTCAGTCGACTCAGCTTGAAATGGGAACGTTGAATCTGGTTAAATCAGTTAGATTTGATCCTCGAAAACCTATTGTTATATGTATGAAATCATTGCCTTGAGGTTTTGGTTTTGGGTGTTAGACAGGATCCGTTTGATCCCTATTTGTTATCCTCCTTGAAGTTAGGCCAAAGGTCTAGTCATTGAAATACGTAAATGTGTGATATCATTTTTTTTTCATTTTTGGCCTACCTCTGCATCTAGGTCTTTTTCCACTGACAGAAGTTCCTGGAATATGTCGACCATCTTTGGTAAAACACCAACAATAACCGGTTTCAGAATGGCACTGGACTTCAGCGAATGTTCCGTCATCATTACAAGCTGGTACAAAAACTTCGTCATTTTTCTTCCGTTCAATTGCCGCCAGGGCTTCGGCTTTCTCTCGCAGACATTTAGAGCCACCAGTTGGATCTAAAATTAGATTAAGAAATTAACACACTGTTTTGAGTCGATAAATATTAAGACTTCAATGATATACAAGAAAAGTTGAATCAATATCGAAAAACAAATTGGAACGTACATGTTGTTTATTTGTTGTGTCTCAGTAGTCATAGATGGGGATGAAATGAATGGAGTTTTACGTCCTTTTTTGGAGTCATAGATGGAGGGACTTAAACTCATGAGCATGGTTATTCCCAAAAATATTATTTATTTGTATCAAATGGATTCCTGAGACAGTACAAGGGCAGAAGGGGATTTGTCGTCTTGAGAAGGAAATTTGAATATCGAATCATAAGCTCCAAGTCAAATTAATATCTCGTTATCGTTGTCCAGTCTAGCCTGTTAGTCCAGTCTCGGACTGACAAATAAAGAGTTTCCTGGTGCTGCAGAGAGGTAGGGTCATGGTTTAGGGATGGTTATCAGATTTGACAATAAAACTATGAACATACAGGTTCTCATTGAAGTCGGTATCTCGGACTGTAAAATAAAGAATAACTAATAGAAAGCACCTGTTGTATTTTGTATGAAGATAAGGCGATATATTACCATCATTGCTAGTTGACAGTATTTGTATATCTCAATACACCCTGGCCACAGTCTACATATTATATGTATAGAGTGGCTTCCACTAGCCCCTTATCACCATATCCAGTCCTACATAACGAACACGTGCACGCGACCAAACATTGACATTGAGTGTCGCACCTGCGTCTTCAGACTCGATTTTTTTTCTCATTCAAAGTTGTCACACGTTTAGCTTTTCTTCTCGAATACCAAACTAGAGAGGGTATTTTTAAAAGTTTTATTCGCCTCTGTAAAATATGTAAGATATCTGCACGTAGAACCCAAGTTTTAAAAATAATATATTCCTCTCGTATCAGATAACAGTATTTATTTAAATATATCAGAGATACATACCGAACATATTGTTACAGAAAAAGATATCTGAATATTTGTCGAAAAGCACATCCAACGAGGTAATTTTGTGATATACAATTATAATTTAAAACGTTATACCAAGGAAAATACCATTAAATATGAGGACTTGGGTAGATGCTAGAAGAAATTCTTATCGTTATTTACTAAAAGTAACAAGTGGAAAGTAGTATTGCTGGGACCACATAGATTTACATAAAAGACAAAAAGAATGAATTAGATTTAATTCAATATCATAAACGCACAGGAATAACAGGCTTGAACTCCACAAGATATAATTTCAATCAGAAAGGTTCCTTTCATTTCAGAACTTTAGAACCTAAAACTCCATTAATTTTTTTTGCCAGAAAGTATTGAGAATTCCACTCCACCTCATTACATAAGCCAACTCGGTCTGGATATGAGTACGAGAGAGTTAACATTTGGCCGTCCTGAGCGACACAACATCTGGGTGTATTTACCGTCGTGAAGAAGTGAGACTAATCCGCTATGTAAGTACTACAAATAGGTGTTAATCTCCAGGTAAACCTACTTCAGGTGTGAATAAAGATTAAAACAAACTATTACATCTGTTCTTTCTTCAGCGTGAAATATCTCCTGCCTAAAGCCTGCTGCACACGATATCGTAATATCTGGATGTCGTAGGAGGACTGTGATTACAACAAACGTGATGCGAGGTTTCTTTTTTGCAAATTTGTAAAACCTTAACATGACAATGTACCGAGAAAGAAAAAAAATGTACAAATCTCTGTGTACATTTGCGTTACAAAAGAAATCTTTCGATTAAAGTCTCGTAGTTCCCTTAAGTACCATAATGTTGATCTTTATTGAATTGACGAGAGCTAATGTATGCTGACGACATACGTTTCGGATAAACAATCCTCATCAGGACAGCTTATTGGAAACGGGGTGATACATTGACCTCGTGTACACCATTTAAAACGAATCAAAGTTGTTTACTGGTTGTAAATTACAGATACATTTATACAATAGCATAATGACAGAGGACAAATAGCGGCGCCCTGCAGTACACCGTTATCATTTTACAACATTTCAATACAAGTGAGTGTTATTCTGCTCGTTCAGTGACTCGGAAAGTAAAACTTTTAATTACCATCACCGATACTGTGAAAAGATTTAACTTGTGTCGCTATGAAGTCTGTCATTAATCTAACAATGGACTCAATTATCCAAAATTTAAGACTTTTTGGTGTGTTTATGACAAAGTGTGGGGGACGGGGGGCGTTATACCACTGAAAGAGATGAAGTAACCTTTCAAAAGAGAGCCGCATCAGTGATATGTAACTAAATGAAATACAGTGTTCGGTGCAACATACTGGATGAGAATGCAGTCAATACGACAGTTGTATCTTTCGGTAACTATTAAGACGTTCGGAAAGAATATATAGATGTCAAACCCATATACATAATAAACTTCGAAAGAGTGGGACATTCACATTCGCAATTACAGAGTGGCACGTCCTCCTATGCATGGCGGTTATGAGCCTTCGTATGCTTCAATTCGAATTAGGTCATAAAGAAATATTTGAAGAAGGAAATGTCAGAGATAGCTGAATGTCAAGTGGATCAAAGTATTTTTTATAAACGAACAAAAAACATTTCGATTTATAAAAAAATATAATATAATTATAATTTAATTGCTGTATTTGTTACTTGGAATGACAAATCAAAAACTAATTTAATTTTTGCTGCATTCAGAATGTTTGAAGTGATGTTCATGACAGCAAGTTAGTTTTTGACACCCAATTTAAAAGTTGAAATTGTTAAGAAATGCGGGAATGATAAGGAAAGACTTGTAGTGGTTGAAGGGTACTAGAAATAAAGCTATTGAGAATATGAAGAGTTGAAGTGGTATTTGTAGATGAAGGTTGTTATTGTTGTCAGTCAATTTAAATCATTGTAAAGTTTTGTGTATTTATTTACTGGAACACAGGTGTGCATACTCCAATATAGTCCGAGAATATGTCCTGCTAAACTGTCTACGTTTAACAATGAAATCCTCAATCATTAATAGTTATTCCAAATATAATGGTCTACCCGATAAAATGACTGATTGGATAATGAAACTAAATTTAAAATCAATTTTCTAGTGACTGACGAATCAGATGACCTGGTAAACTGTCCAAGTTATACAACGAAATCGTCGATTATGAATAGTTTTTCGTCCACCTGGGTTTTCTCAGATAAACTTCTGATTTTATGAAGTACAGTAATCTGATTGGATTATAAAAATCAATTTTATTGATTGACCAATCAGATTACCTGGTAAACAATAAAATCCTCAATTATTAATGGTTTTATCGAATGAAATCGTCCACCTAGCTAGGGCCATATTATAATCTAAGTTAAAATGAAATTGAAAACCTCACCGGGACAGCTGGAAATAGGTTTATACGATGATTTGGAATATTGGGCTTCGCGTGTTCTTTCTAGAAATGTATTAAACAAATTACTGTTTGAAAATTACAGATACATTAATACAATAGCATAATGACAGAGGACAAATAGCGGCGCCCTGCAGTACACCGTTATCTTATTACCTCATTTCAATACAAGTGTTTGTATATTTCTTGCTTAGTGTGGGCAGACATTTTAGACTTTTGATGTTTCAGCATCGTCTCTTCACCGCGTCCGGAAGTATTACCATCTATTGGTGGGCTAAATGATGGCGGCATGAGAGTTGAATAACAAAAATAGTTATGTTTTGTTCGAGGTTTGGGATATTGGTTTTATTACTTAATTTAATAGATCTCCCTCATGCTGCTTACACGTATTTCTAAAACCTCAGAAAGAAAGGTCGATCGGTAAATGACAAGTAAAAGTTCCAGTGGATGCTGATATCACAAAATATCAGGAAGAATTGGAAATGTTGATTAATATTCCGAATTTATGTACAAGAGCGAATGAAAAAAAATTTTTAACCTACCTCCTGGGCAAGGTCCTTTCATTCTGACCTTCACCTTGCGACCGTCACATTTCTTAGCTTTCTTCAGCTCACACCTTGAATTGTAGGTCATTCCGTCCGTACCGCACACAGGTCTAAATTTAGCATTGCTGCAATCCTCTTTACAGGTCGACGCTCGTAAAGATCGGAATAAGCTCTGAAAATAAAATCAGTATATTTCACTATTTTGATGACAAGAAGATCTCCAAGAAAATAAATTCCCTTGACATCTTTATATTCTAATTACACAAGTCTAATTTTACGCTGAAGTAGAAATTTGATACTGTTTGATTTACGAAATCGATTTAATTTGCATGTTTTTCAACATAAAACAGAAGAAAAGTGTCAAAATCAAAATGCAAATGATTTGAGATCCTTGGCAATAGGGCAAATTAAACAATTATTCTAGAACAATGTTTTATATTAGCTTTCAACAGACATAATTTAATAAATAACAGAACTCTTTGGTTTTATTGTACACATCGTCTCAACAATTTACATTGTCATTATCAGTTTATATGATATACTACTCCTGAGTTTTACTGTATACAACGTTTCAACAATTTACATTGTCATCATCAGTTTATATAGTATACTACTCCTGAGTTTTATTGTACACATCGTTTCAACAATTTACATTGTCATTATCAGTTTATATGGTATACTACTCCTGAGTTTTACTGTACACAATGTTTCAACAATTTACATTGTCATCACCAGGTGTTTTTTCAGCTACTGATGACAATGTAAATTACTGAAACGTGATGTACATGTAAATTCAAGACTAGTATACCATACAATTGTGATCTGTTATTTAATGTGATCTCTGTCTCTAAATATCGTTTAAGGATTATAACATAAAAATATCATTGAACTTAAATAAAGTGCTGGGTATTTTAACAGAGTGCGATGTGTGCTTAATTAGATGAACAAATAAAAATTGTAAAATACTTATAAACTATGTGTTAAACTTAAAAACATTAAATTAAACCAGGGGGCTGATCGTCAGAAATAATCTAAATTTTATGATCGATTTTCAACAATCTTATTAAAGCGAATATTTAACTTCTTAATTCAGTTTCACAAAATGAAGTTTTCATCTACATTGTAATCGATCATTATCGATCATCATATTATTGGGACTACAAAATAGAATGTGCTGTAATTGGACTACCTTTAGTAGTTAATTACTATAGATGATGTTAAATAAAGATACCCACAAGTTAGAATCTTTCTGACGAAAAGCCCCCAAAACACGAAAAACACATCAGAACCAAAGATAAACGAATTTAAATCCTCAACTGAACTTCTAAAGACTTACCATCGCCATTTCAGAAGATTTTTTCTTAAAATAAAATGTTTAAATAGATTAAGATCTATGTCAAAAGTTAAAATTCAAAGTGATTTCCATTTTTATAGAGTTTTCAATTAAGAGTCGTGTCTCTTCACTGGGTCAGTAGGGCGTCGTGAGATCAGGGGCGTCACGTAATCTGGGTCGCCATGAGATCAGAGGTGTCATGTAATCTGGGTCGCCGTTAGATCAGGGGTGTCATGTAATCTGGGTCGCCATGAGATTGGGGGCTGCAAGATCAGGGGCCATCGTTCAAATTAGGAATGCACCCCTGCTGGCTAGTAGTCTCGGACTATATCAACACCTGGTAGAACACCTGGATACTAATTATCTACTGATCTGTATATTTTTATCTCCAAATCGAGGTTTTATTGATAAAATCGTTCGTTCTGGTGAAATCAGTCAGTTGTCACTAAACGATGTTATTTATCATTAATCTCATATCACTCTCATCATTTATAAAATACAATACTTTCTTCCTCTAGTTTTTATACGGTTTTAAATCGTCTATAGAAATAAAAATGAAGTCAGTCATATTAAGCTGTTATGAAATGAACGCTGTTTAAAGCCCTACTTTTCTGCTTCAATTTAGACTGATGAAATGAAATAGAGTTTTATACCCTAATGTTCTGTATCTTATTGGACTAATGAAATGAAATAGAGTTTTATATCCTACTGTTCTGTATCTTATTGGACTAATGAAATGAAATGGAGTTTTATATCCTACTGCTCTGTACCTTATTGGCACATGAAATGAAATAGAGTTTTATATCCTACTGTTCTGTATCTTATTGAACTAATGAAATGAAATATAGTTTTATATCCTACTGTTCTGTATCTTATTGGACTAATGAAATGAAATGGAGTTTTATATCCTACTGTTCTGTATCTTATTGGACTAATGAAATGAAATGGAGTTTTATATCCTACTGTTCTGTGCCTTATTGGCACATGAAATGAAATAGAGTTTTATATCCTACTGTTCTGTATCTTATTGGACTAATGAAATGAAATAGAGTTTTATATCCTACTGTTCTGTATCTTATTGGACTAATGAAATGAAATGAAGTTTTATATCCTACTGTTCTATATCTTATTGAACTAATGAAATGAAATGTAGTTTTATATCCTACTGTTCTGTATCTTATTGGACTAATGAAATGAAATAGAGTTTTATATCCTACTGTTCTGTATCTTATTGGACTAATGAAATGAAATAGAGTTTTATATCCTACTGTTCTGTATCTTATTAGACTAATGAAATGAAATAAGTTTTATATCCTACTGTTCTGTATCTTATTGGACTAATGAAATGAAATAGAGTTTTATATCCTACTGTTCTGTATCTTATTGGACTAATGAAATGAAATGAAGTTTTATATCCTACTGTTCTGTATCTTATTGAGCTAATGAAATGAAATAGAGTTTTATGTCCTACTGTTCTGTATCTTATTGGACTAATGAAATGAAATATAGTTTTATATCCTACTGTTCTGTATTTTATTGAACTAATGAAATGAAATTAAGTTTGATGTCCAATTGTTCTTTCTCAGAATCGAGATAAGTAAGATGAACAACTCTTTGCAGTGTCAAATGAACCAAATTCCACGAGGATCTCAACATTCATAACAAAGTCGTGTTGCTACAGAATTCAACAGAATCGAGCAACAGAGAAAAATGGAATTTCGTCTCGTACGAATTGATGTCAATATAGACGTTTAAAAATATATACCTTACGGCTTTACCTACGTACGACAGATCAATTTTGATAATAATTTATACAGATGAAGATTTTATAATAAGACTGTAATAAAAAGCAATGTACCTGTGCGTTATCGCTTTCGCTTCACGATCAAGGTCAATATCGAACCCACAAAAACGGGTTACGCTTTGTATATAGATCAAGAACAACCAATGTGATACAGAGTTGATGATCGATTAAGGACAGACCATGTTATATATCGTACATGAGGGAATTGGGCCAAATATTGACCATGGTTCACCCTTTTTCGATTTCCAACTGTCAACATGCAGAATACGCAGGCCAAAATGGTTTCTTGTATCTAAACGCTACTTTATCACAGAAAACTGACATTATGCCACTAGCTAGCTCGACTCGACATGGCATAACCTGTCATTTCACCGCCCAGACCGCATCACTGACAGCATCGTGTCCAAACCACGTCCAACACGATCATGTCAAAACCTGTATTCGTGATACGATGCACGGACAGGTAAATTGAAGACGACATTAAATTCGATTTCATCATTTCATATGAAGTTATATAAATTGCCTTGGCTTTAAGTAAAAGTGTTAGACTAGGTATAAAGAAGAGTACAGGGGCGTGGCGTATCAAATAAACGACTATGGTGTTATAATTGTGGGTTACAATCGCTTCGTTAGCTCCAGACAACATCCGATATCCCTACGTTTAAATACAGACTAGACAATGTTTTACATTATTACACGTTTAGGCTAGCTGGAAAGCATTATGTAGGTATAATAACAGTAATCTCTGATACTACAAGAGATGCAGGTATATACTCTTACAGGCTTCACAATGCAATAAATCTGATAGAAGATGTTAAGTTCGAGTGCAGATTTGTCTGAAGGTGGATGATGTAAATTAGTTTTGTTTTGCCGAAGTACAACTATTAAAAACAGGTAGACGAGTGTTTTTTTACTCGCCATCTGAAATTATTCTACAGAGCACGTGCCAGATTGTTTAATGTTGTAAACATGGCGGGAAACCAAGTTGTCTGTTCAACACACGGATAACACGTGGTGTTTGGAACCGATCCATCAAACATAATAACATTTTCTGGTAAAATCGTCGCTCGGTTGGCGTAATCTGCCCGAAATTTAAACAAACGAAATTAATGCAACAAATCTTAACCGCTAAATCTGTAATCACAATCAAAACAAAGTGCCCACTTCTTTACCATTTCTAATTGTCAAGGGGTTATTTAACGCGCGAAACAGCCTTACAACTTGCGATAGTCAATCTAGGCTGGAAAAAACAAGGTAAGTTGGTATACGGTGATAGATTATTGATTGATATAGAAGATCGATAAATCTGCATCTAAAATCATGCATTGACTAATCGCACCTTTAAGTCGAGATCAAACGCCTCGGACGAGCAGGCGTTCAACCGACTGAACCACCACTAGGCAGTAAGAAGAATTTACACCAACCATGGTGTACTAGTGTTGTAAGACAGACGAAACAGATGTAAAGATAAGTCATATGTTAAACTAGGTAGGGTGGCTGTTAATGATATATAGAATATAAAATCAGATTAATTATAAAACAGAAGGATTGAACCCTGGTACAAGTACAAGGTACTGGTGAAATAATTATGTCTGTTTTGATTTTTAACATTTTAAATTTATAAACCTGTTTACATACAGACTAGAAATATCGTCAAGGTCAAGTTAACAACACTGGAATTGTTTCGCCACCATTGCTGTATGAGTACGCACTATGATAATATGGAATGTTATTGGGGGCCGTTCGCCAAAATCAGGTACAATGTACAAATCATATTCATGATGGAATGTACCATGTTGACACCAATGCCGCGACGAAGCCCTGGATTTCTAAGATAGCAAACAAACCTCAAACTCACTGAACCACCTTTAGAGGTACCCTATATTGTAAAGATGGAAGTTCCTTACATCGTGAAGATGTGTTCATGATGGAATGTAGGCTACTATTTTGAACAATGGATTAAGCCAACAGG